CTCAAAGTTTTGCCAAATACAGCTAAGGTAATCTATTCCTGAGGTAAAAAAACCCTTAGTATTTCAAAAATTTAGAGTTTTGTAAACAGTTAATTTATAATTATGACCATATCAATGATAATTCATGTCGACCCAGAAGTGCTGAGACTGGGCTGGTGATACACTAGGGGAATAAAAACTCCACCAACAGTGGCATCGACCCAGTGGTTATAAAAAAACTCATCATAGATCCCAGGAGTGAAATTTTATATTTGCGCCAGACGCGTGTTTAGTTTACAAAAGACTCATCAGTAACGCTCGAATCAAAAATTGTTAAAAAGGCCAAATAAAGTACAAAGTTGAATAGCATTGAGAACCAAAAATTCCAAAATATTTTGCCAAATACGGCTAAGGCAATCTATTCCCGAGGTAGAAAGCCTAAGTATTTCAAACATTTATAGTTTTATAAACAGTTAATTTATAATTATGACCATATCAATGATAATTCATGTCGACACAGACGTACTGACGACTGGGCTAGTGATACACTAGGGGAATAAAAAATCCACCAGCAGTAGCATCGACCAAGTGGTTGTAAATAAACTCATCATAGACATGATAGATACCAGGATTAAAAATTTATATTTGCGCTTAATGTGTGTTTCGTCTTCAAAAGATTTATCAGTGACGCTATAATAAGAAAATGTTAAAAAGACCAAATAAAGTACAAAGTTGAAGAGCATTGAGAACCAAGAATTCCTAAAAGTTTTGCCAAATACGGCTAAGGTAATCTATTCCCGAGGTAGAAAGCCTAAGTATTTCAAACATTAATAGTTTTATAAACAGTTAATTTATAATTATGACCATATCAATTTTAATTCATGTCGACACAGACGTGCTGACGACTGGGCTAGTGATACACTAGGGGAATAAAAAATCCACCAGCAGTAGCATCGACCAAGTGGTTGTAAATAAACTCATCATAGATACCAGGATTGAAAATTTATATTTGCGCTTAATGTGTGTTTCGTCTTCAAAAGACTCATCAGTGACGCTTTAATAAAAAATGTTAAAAAGGCCAAATAGAGTACAAAGTTGAAGAGCATTGAGGAACAAAAATTCCAAAATATTTTGCCAAATACGGCTTAGGTAATCTTTTTTTGAGGTAGAAAACCCTTAGTATTTCAAATATTAAGAGTTTTATAAACAGTTAATTTATAATTATGACCATATCAATGACAATTCATATCGACACAGAAGTGCTGAATAAATTACAAAGTTGAATAGCATTGAGGACCAAAAATTCCAAAATATTTTGTCAAATACGGCTAAGGTAATCTGTTCCCGAGGTAGAAAAGACTTAGTATTTCAAAAATGATAAACAGTTAATTTAGACGCTCGAATAAAAAAAGTTACACTAGCACATGTGCCAATATTCTCTTTTTTCTTTAAATAAAATTCAGTTATTTGGGTTCATATGAATGTTTCTTTTTCACAAATTCTGTGCAGTTTAAGTCTCTGAACACTGAAACTTTCCTCGGCAATAATCAAATGTGCTAAAATTATTTCCTTTCTTCAAAAGCGTGTATCGGCATTAAAGTCCAGTGCTTGGCTACTTCAGGTTCGTATTTGTGTTTCACAAATTGCGAGCTATATAAGACTACAGTTACATAAACTGTTGCAAAAAACAATAAGAAATGCCAAAGTCCTTCTTTTTCTTATAAATGGTTTAAAAAAATTATTTTAAAAAACTTGAGATATTCCATTAAAGATTAATATTGTGCTTCTTTGCTAGGAAGTCCAAATCTGTTAGGTCTTTTCCTTGAGAATCAAATTTTGAGAAGTAATATAAACGATTTAATTTGATAAACATAACTTTGAAATCAAAAACATCATACGGTACAATTCTAATTTAGATAAAGGCAACAGTAGTATACCGCTGTTCGAAAGACATAAATCCAGGTTACAAACTAAAACTGAGGGAAACACATCAAATATAAGGGGAAAACAACAAAAAAAAAATATTTTTTCAATAAAATAAGGAAAAGATACCGAGTTTTGTGTGCACGACCTCCTTTGTTTTGGTTTCTTAAATGAAATTCAACAAAGACGAAAGGATTGACAACATAGTACATAACACGTGTTTGAAAATAAAAATAAATTGAGCGGACCTTAACAGTTACACATAAATCCTGTAAGATCAGTTTACGTTTAGTATCGAAATTTAAAGTAAATCAAAATTAGAATTTAACGATATTTTTTTTATTTTGCCATAAAGCGGGAGGTTTGGTATGCCATGAAACTAAGTTCAACACACCATGATCATCTCACAATGTCCTGTACCAAGTCAGTAATATGGCAGTTGTTATCAAATAGTTCGTTTCTATATGTGTTGGCGTTTGTTTTTGTTGCACTTCGGTGTTCCTGTTGTTCCTTGTAAAACCTATTTCGTGCAATTTGGTTTGGTCTTTTCTGTTGAGGGGGACTAGCTTTCAAAGAGGACCCTCTTATCAAAAGGAAACCATAAATCATAAATTTTTACTGGTAAATTATAAAACTTAATGACTCAAAAAACTACCAATACCGTCAAACTTAATTTTGCATCGCAAAGTGTAAAAAAATAGATCGATACATACGAGACTATTATATGGCATTGAATACAGATAATCAAACAAAATCTGTTTATTATCTATTATCTAAATGTTTACATGGTGGATCAGTATAGATATCGTCGCGTTGCTACTTCTTTACATCCAGGACATTACTTCGCTTCTCGGAAGAAACGAGCCAAAACTGAACAATTGTCTACAAAATTATCAAATTGTTTTTATTTAAATCTGCACTAGATTTTAAGGATCAGCATTCATATCTACTGTCCTTTGAAATAGCTGAACAGAAAAACATACCATATTTTACACAATATCATGTAGAAAGTGTTTGATGGCATTATAATTTTTATTAATTAAAATAAAAATCTATAATTACAATAAACGAGCTCCAGATCTTTCTCCCTTGTTTAAGACTCCAAATGAAAAATACAACTATAATAAAGAGTTTGATAATTACCTGAAAGAATATTAGATGCGTTGTAAAAAACGTTGAAGAGGCTAAATTCTATAGGACAAAGGTATACATGATGATCTCTATTACATTAGGCTCTAATGACACCAGTAAATGAGACAGCAACCCAGCGACAAGAATTACAAAGATCTAGAGGGCAACAAACAGACTTCAACAATAGATAAGAGTCTTTACGATATGGTAACCTCTAAATCATTCCGAGTCTTTAAAAGTTGTGTATATATTTAACCATTTGACCGCTACGTGTTTTTGAATGAATGACTCCTGCATCTTAGCATTGTACAAGCTCATGTTTTTCTCTGACTGTTTATAACGTCTTTGCACTAAATCCATTGGATGTTGGATGTGTACTGACTGATAATTTAGTCTTAGATGCATTATTTTTTATATAAGTTATTATTGGCTTTGAACTAGCTGTCAGTAGGTGCGAGTTTTTTCATATCTCTACTTAGTGTATTTTTGTTGTTGGGATGTGCATGTACCTGGTCACGTCCACTCTGTTTTTTTGTTTGTTTTTTGTTATATGTATTTCTATTTGTATCCATCTGATGAGTAAAGCCTTTTTCAATTCATTTTCATAGTTCGTTTTTATCTTCTACTGTTACAGCACTGTCCTATGTTAGGGAGAGGGTTGGGATACCGCTAACACGTTGATATATATGTGCCTGTCCCAAGTCAGGAGCCGTTAATTCAGTGGTTGTCGTTTGTTGCTGTGTTACATATTTGTTTTTCGTTAATTTTTTGTACATTAATTATCTTTTTATATTCGAAGCGTACGCGGAATTTTCCATGTTAGAATTTCGTGCAAACGTCATCAAACTAAATGTTTGACCTCGTATATGTCAATATAGGTATAAAACCACTAATTCATAGCCCCATTGCTCTCTTTTGCAATTTCAAGCATTATTGGTTACTTTGATCAAATAAACTGGCAGCCATTTCAAGTCAAAACTATACCTTATCCTGACTTGTGCTGAAAAATTCAGCATACCTTTAATTGCATATTAGAGCGCACTGGTTCACTGAAGATAAAAACTACAAAAACAGGTACTTCTGATCTGAACAACAGAGCAAATATGCCCTCCTATTATAATTGTTTATTCTTTTTTCATTCAATAACAAAACAACCCAAACATTTCACCTTTTGACAGAGAAATAGCTATGCGTAGGAACTATTTTGTTTTAAATATATACTACTTTCCTATGTATGTTCTTTCCGACCGGGCCCGAATTAGTGGTTCTATACCTATAAAACGTTATTCCGTTATTCGTTTAAATTTCAAAAAAGTCTAATAATATATATGAGCTGCGTCGAATAGAAATCGACCTTGTGCACGTGCGTAAACATGCACATGTATGTATAGGACTTTGATTCATTTTGGAATATTCAAATACGAAATAAAAGGTGAATGTTGGTCTGTTTTGTAAGGTTATTATAACAACTCAATGTTCATACTGTAATATTCTTTGTCTCGTGATTTCTTCAAACTAGGTAAGAAGATGTACTGATATTCATTTTCATAAGGCCGATTTTCATCCTATGCAGCTAATGTATTAGTATTAAACTATTCTTTAGTTGATTTGGAAAACTGACGTTTTCATACATTTGTATCTTACGAGTGACATATTTGTCGGTAGCGTGACCAAAGGGTTGAAATAACCATCAAGGAACTGCCTTCAATACTCATATTCCAAATAGCGAAAGACATTAAAGGATTTTTCATACGACAACTAGCTTTAAAAGACGGATTTTTATGACTTTTTCGCGACAAAATAGAAATTCAACTGTCAACTTCATGTCAATTAATTAGGATATTGTCTCGACATTTATCATCAGGTTAATTTGTTGTCTTATTCAGGTTCAAAATCATGTATGCACCAAGGCCCAATTTCATTGTTGATTTAATGATTTATTGATTTACCAATGTAATCAATTCTAGATATCTCCAGAAGAAACTTACCATTTAAGGATACTTCATCTCATTTTCCGTGGAGCCAGGGAAGTTGTTAAACAACTCTTTGATGTAGAATTTCCTCCTTCTTCACTACAAAAGACCATTGAATCAAACAGGCAAAAGCTGCAAGATTTACAAAAACAACGAAAGCTGATTACTACGTTTCAGATGGACTTGCTGTTTTCGAACGGTATGTGTATTTCAATCTGCGGAAAAATATTAATGCAGTTATATATATTTCATTGAACAAACTATTCATTCCATAGCGTACAAGCAATATCAACTCGAATTAATTAATTTCAATATAATGATAAACGACCCTATGGTTTATATAACCAGCGTTGATATCAAGCGATATCAAAATGTCACGAGTTGATTAACCTATATCTCTTATAGTACACATTCTAGTGTCCTGTTCCGGTCTCAAACTAAGTCATGAGACATTTTCAAACTTTGTGTACGCATAGAAATGAATTGAACTTGACAACAACTAGATATTTAGGCGAAAAGTGTGAGTGTTTTGTGAATGAAAAAGGAAATGAACATTGTTTGACCTTTGAGTCATAAATGACTTAACGATTAGTTAATTAGATCACCAGGTCATTAGCTCTTATCACAGCAAAATTGCTAAATAGATTTAAATGATCATATATGTACAATACAAAACACATGTTTAATCATGGTTAACAAAGTTACTATCGTTAAGGACAGGCTTATACAAATGTTTGAATGTTAACTTCCAGCTAGCCTGGTACAGTTTTGTTTATACAAATACTAAATTAAAAAATCAAGTGAAATAATTGACTCATCAGATTTTCAGGTCAAAGTGGCAGGCAGGCAATTTTTGTTGACTGGTACGTTTGATATTTAAATTGACAAAAAGTAAAATCACAAAAATACTGAACTCCGACGAAAATTCAAAACACAAAGTCCCTAATCAAATTGCAAAATCGAAAGCTCAAAGAATAGTTCTTTGTATACGTATATATGGATTTTTTTCCAACTGCTAAAACTTGAAATTTTTTAGGGTTTGCCTGTATTTTTTAAATTTAATTGACACATTTTGAACAGGTGAATATTTACAAAATCAAAGAATGCATGGCTGTGATCATTTGACTAAAAAATACCTTTTAAACAGAGATTAGCTGAGTCTTTTCACTTTGCTTTTTTGCAAAGTTTTCGTTCAAACAATATTTGTTTTACCTAACTGATTTTTTTTAATTAAAGTCGGAAAATAGGGGGGGGGGGGGGGGGGCGCTTCAAAACAACTGTTCAAAGTCATTTATATGAAAATCATTGATAGAGAAAACCAGTGTAAATGTACTACATTAATCTGTTATACATTGCAGTATTTTTAAATTACTGTAGAAAATTATTGATGCGACATGGAAAAGATCAACAAATAAAGGAGAAAAGCTTTCATTCTTCAACCTCAACGTTTTTATATAAAATATATCAAAAAACAGAAAACATCGTCACACTTCATTGCCTGAATCAATTTCGTTATTAAAACTGGTAAATTTGACATGTTAATCTCCATTTTGCTATGAAATAATTCCAAAAACGTTAGAAAAATTTTGTGAATTTTGACCTCCGGTTCAAGCGTGTATTATGTAAACAAAACAATAAGTGACGGGAAATTCTTCACACAGTCATGTGCCCATATGTTTCTGGGTCACATTTGTTCATATCTCAACCAATGAATAGCTTTAGGTAATATGTCTTTTCATTGAGTTTAGCCATTTCAATTGATACTTTACAGTGTGTCTTTCTATGTTGTGATGTTACACTATTGTTTCAGATAAGGGTGGAGGTTGGTACCTATAAAAACGTTTAAACCCGCTGCAATTGTTTGCAATTGTCTTAAATCAGGAATCTGATGTTCAGTAGTTTTCGTCTGTTGATGTGGTTCATAAGTGTTTCTCGTTTCTCGTTTTTTATATAGATTAGACCGTTGGTTTTCCCGTTTAAATGGTTTTACACTAGTCATTTTGCGGGCCCTTTATAGCTTGCTGTTTGGTGTTGTAGACCGTACGTTGACCTATAATGATTTACTTTTATAAATTGTGATTTGGATGGAGATTGGATTATTAATAATTTTGTTCCATACATCTGGCGATTTTTTTTAACCTAAAGCGAAAATCAAATAGTTGGTACAAAAACTAGGTTAAGCAATTATTTTGCAAAACTTCGACTGGGAAATTATCAATTTCAACAAATTTGCCTTTCTTTGCCTTTTTACATTTTTTTTACATAACTGTTGCAATAAACGAAATTGTTTCCATCAATACAAAGTTATAAAAGGTTTCTTTATTTTAAACATGATAATTCGTTTCAGAAACCTTTGTTGAAATGTTTTGATTCATCAAATTACTGTATTCCGATTTCCATTTATCTAAAACATCTGTCAGTTTTGAATAAATATTCACATCTTGGTTTATAACCTCCATGGGAATTACTGTCTTTCGGTTTTCAGCTATTCCATTTTTTTTCAGAACTGCTGTTGGTTTCATTTTGATTCTAACAATAGTTCCTACTGCATACTAATACAATTGTTTGCTTACATTTTTTAACCTCCCTGTCAAAATATTTCTCTTAAAAATAAATCACGTCGACTTTTATTAAATCTAGTTCTACTGTGTTTTACCCTTGCACATTTCAACATATAATTTGTTTATGATGATGGAAGTTTTTAACGACCTTGCACGGTCGGAAATTTGTTTAGATCATCATTCCACCAAGGTTTTTTTAATCTTATGTTTCTTGTTTGTACGACTATCACTTATACGTACGTAGTTTTTTACGTGTTAGTTTGTCAATCATTTTGCCTTCTACAGTTTCACAAAATGATGAAAACATGTCATTTACACAAATGGGCTCTTAAAAAGTCTGGTACCTTTGATAACTATTAGCTTGTCGTAATGTTCTATTGTATTGTTTATTTGTGTGTTTCTATGTCCTGTATGTTCTTCCATTTATTTGTATTGTAGTCCTGTCATGTAATGTTGTCATTTTAGTGTTATATTAACATTGCCATTAAAGCGGGAGGTTTGGCTAGCCACAAAACCAGGTTCAACCCACCATTTTTTCTTAAAATGTCCTGTACCACGTCAGGAATATGGCTATTGTTATCTTATAGTTCTTTTCTGTGTGTGTTGCATTTCAGTGTTTATGTTGTGTCGTTGTTCTCCTCTTATATTTGATGTGTTTCCCTCAGTTTTAGTTTGTAACCCGGATTTGTTTTTTCTCAATCGATTTATGAATTTCGAACAGCGGTATACTACTGTTGTCTTTATTAATCATCTCAAACTTGTCAATAAAACATTTGATTTCTAATTATGCAACTTTTGCATTCATAAAGAGTTGGTAGGTTTTTACAGTAGTATATACGAATATTGACGATTGAGATTCTTTTTGTTTAAGCAAATTTTACTAAAACAAACGACCTCAGATCAAAACTCCCTTTAATAAAAAAAATTAACAGAAATTGACCTAAGAACTACACTTGATGAATTATAACCCGCTATTATCCCTATGCCATTAGCTCTTATCACTGCAAAATTGCTAAATAGATTTAAATAACCATATCGCACAATACTTAAGTACATGTTAAATCATTGCTTAGAATGTTAATACCGTTAGTGTTAATTATACAACAGTTCACGCTTATTACAACATCAATAAAAGGGTGACAATAAGAATAAATCTAAAGTCAACTACATTTAAAGGACAAAGATCATCGACACCAACAATAAAATCGTGTCCATCTCTACAACTTCTATTAAATTCTCCATAAATAAAAAAGGAACCAGAATTTTGATGCTCATAAACCTGAGTAATTAATGTGTCTTCATCAACTTTACGTGTTGTGCTTCCGGAGTCAAATTTACTACATATACACTAAATTTAAAGTCTGAATATTTATCCTTGAAATAGACCTATAAAATACCAATACAGGATGTGTCTAGAACTTCAATATCAAACATTTCGCAATAAGATTTTAAACAAATAGTCCTACCCTACAAGAACCAGTCTTGGCATTTTTATGTAATGTTTTCTATTTTGACCAAACAAGTTATAATTATTTACATGTAAACGGCATCATATATTTTTCATGTGTTTCACATACAACTACAATATATAAATTCAACATCCAGTTCCTAGTTTATGACATGTAGCTCAAAAATGGCTAGATCACAGCACCGACGATGCTTTGATTTGATGTTGTTGATAATGGATTGAGAATGTCATGTATGCAGTGGCTAAAATGCAGTAAACCTTACCCTTGCACAGTTTTCAAATTTTAAATAAAAACAATGTTATTAGTTACCAGTTGATGGCCACAATTAAGCAGAAGTATAATTGAGTACAGTGCACTAATCGGGTTTTTTTCTGAGAAATTATAATAAGTTGCATAAAAGTCTCATCATAACTGTAGACGGGCCGATTTCTGTTAAAATAATGAAAACGTAACTTTTCTTGTGACGTAGAATCCTCGCGGTGTTATATTGAAAACAATAAAGCAAATTAAAACTGCAATAAAATTGACTAAAATTATTAAATAAAAAATTAACCGGTTACCATAGAGACCAACGTAGAAAAACTAAATATGATGGACCAAAAGTTCGAATTTATTAATCATGTTCCATGCAGCCTTTACTTACAAAAACTGTGCTTTGGTGTTCCATATACATTTGTTACGTCTTTTGTTTAGAAAAAGTCTCGTCCTTCTCGTTAGACATTAAGACTATGGTAGCTATGCTGAAATATATGAAAGACATGAATATAACAGATGGACTGCCAGAGGACGATTCAAATATCGATATTTGTGCAGACCTATCAAGAATTTGGTGGTACCGTAGGGAAGTAATAAACTACAATACGTTTACAATAGACCAATTTGAAGATCGATGGAATATTTGCAAAGTAAGATTTTATCTTAAATTAAAGGGATATGTGAAAAATAGTTAATGGTTTTCTATTTAGTAAAATAATATGACAGTATGTATATAGTACTATCCTTATGATTAATGAAACACCATTTTATTCCAGCGAGGTGGTATATATTTTGAATTAGTAATGTTCAGCAAATCTGTTCGTTTTATACTATTAAGCTATACACATACACAATGTGCTTTGGTGCTCCAAGTCTTTGGTGTCTTTTTTAAAGAAAAATGACATGTTATGTTCTTTTTATCATATATTTCAACAGAAGACATACTTTTTTAAAACTTTTAAAAAATGCATTTATTATATCATTTGGTTTGCATTTTTCAATAATGTATTTTCCTATACCCTAATATTTGTGTTTTTTTTATTCTTCTTAGTTAAATGTTTCAATAGAATGTACCATTGAGGTGAATTTTCTGGAATTTGTAGACTGACATCGAAATGCCACACGATAACTTTACAGAAAGGCATGATGCGATAATAACCGGATGCCGTTGATATGAAACGGAAGCAGTTGATATAAACCGGAAGCAGTTGATAACAAAAGTCATATCACACGGCTAAGACAATTCTTCAAATTTAATGAATAAATATATGTACAAATTAGTTTTATCAAGGGGTACAATTATACCATTAATTTCTATAAGTATATGATAAAAAATATATCTTGCGTATAAAGATATGATAAAAGTGTAACGATATGACATTTATACAAAGATATGACATAGGTATAGCGGTATTTCATTAATATAAAGATACAATAAAAGAATAAAGATATAACAAAAGAATAAAGATATTTCATAAGTATAAAGATTTGATATAAGTACAAAGATATGATATAAGTATAAAGATATGACAAATGTATAAAGATATGACAAAAGTATAAAGATGTGACAAAAGTATAAAGATATGACAAAAGTATAAAGATATGACAAAAGTATAAAGATATGACAAAAGTATAAAGATATGACAAAGGTATAAGATATGACAAAAGTAGAAAGATATGACTAAAGTAAAAGGTATGACAAAAGTATAAAGATATGACAAAAGTGTAAAGACATGACAAAAGTTTAAGATATGACAAAATTATTAAGACATGAAAAAAGTTTGAAGGGGCACAAGCTGTCAAATTCATGTTCACCGATTTGACTCAAATTCTCATATTTGATTTATAACCATGTCAAACATTTATCAAATTTTAAAATGTCTAAAATAAACATTTTACAGGGCATGGGCTAGATAATATGTAGCTTCGTTACGTGTGTATTTTAGTCTTGATTCCATCTAATGAACTATCGAGTTGATCTCTGAAGACCTCTGATGGTCATATAAGCGATATAAACATAAATATAAATAGGAATAGAAATAGAAAGCGTACTCGTGCAATTGGACTTTTTTTATGTCTGTTTAATTTCATACAATAGATTAAGAATATTCTTTCGTCTCTCTTTTTTAACGCTATAATAACGATATAATACATAAGTAGATAACTAAAATTAAGAAATAATTCTTTAATTCTTTCATGCCATGGTATATGCTTATTCTAACATAGGTAGGCATTATATTTGTCAATAAATCTATGTATTGAGCGTTGGTAAGGTGATAAGTGTTGACATATATATAAAGCCTACCCATGTTAAAATCCTCATTTTGTACTATTTAGATAGAAAACCCGGCGTAAGTAATAGTACTTCGGTTCATTATAAGCCAATATATTCAACAGTTGTTTGGAAACACATTGTTCATCGGAGTTAAACTTACTAGTTTTAGTAAGAGATGTCATTTCGATCTGATTTGGAGACTAAAAAATGGCCGCTATTAGAGCTTCTTGATTTAAACAGATGATTCATCTTAATTTCTTCTCTGACAATAAGTAATTTTATGAATCTTTCCTATTCTTATAAAAGTTATTTAGTCACATATAAGAATGATTCGTCAAAGATTTCCTTTGCACCTATGAGAATATTTCAGAAACTGCATATTGCTAGCTTTGAATTAACAATGTTAACAAAACAACTGATTGCATTGCCCGTAGCTGAAAAGGGGAAAATCCGAAAAAAAGAGCTAGAAACAATGTGTGTTCATTGATTGTAACCATATGTGTCTTATAGATAATTTTTCAATCCGTAACGTTTGTCTTTATCTTTATTACTTTGTTGTTTTACATGCCTTAGTTTTTTAAGATCTATTCAAATTGTTATATTTTGTAGGCCGTTATAAGACTAGGAGGGGAGATATATATTGATATATGCAAACAACTGAAGACGGCTCCTTTACATGCCAGAGAACCGTAGACTCGTTGACTGATATCACTCGTAAAAGTCTATTAACTTAAACTGCAGTTTTGACCTGAAGCGATCTTAGACTTGAAAACTACCTTCTGTGAATTTTCAAAAGTGTTTTATCTATGAATTCTGTACTGATCTGATACTTTATTTGTGTGATACAAAGCCTGTAAGTCTAATATTGTTCACAAACGGTAATTCACTAGTGCTAAATAAAAGATGAATCAATATTGCCTTCAAAGTAAAGACAATGACTGGACTAAATTGATTTGACATTAAAGCTTTTATATTATGAGTTTATCTGTAATCTAAACCAAATTTAATAGAGCCATGGAAAGACGTACACGTGCTCCTGTGCAATGGACGATTTCAGAAAAAAAAATATGCGGGTTCATTATGAAGAAAAATTGAAATGTACATGGATGGAAAAAGAGAGGTGAAAGATACATAATAGATATTCTAACTCATAAGTCCAAAGCAAACTTGAAAATGCCATAGCAAACAATTAAAAAAAACGATGAAAAGACAAACAACAGTACATAAAACAGAACATAGAAAACTCAAGACTGAGCAACGCGCACACCACCAAAAATCGGGATGATCTTTTGTGTTCCTGAAGGGTAAGCATATCTTGCTCCTCGTGTGGAATCCGTCGTGTTGCTCATGTAAGTACAGAACAGGTGATAAGTCTACATTAGTAGGTCACATTCGAGGAAAAGAGGATGGGATTGTGGTTACAACAATTAGAACAAATCTAATATATGTGGAACAGACCTAATATATGTGGAACAGATATTAAATTACAATCAATCAACTCGTGATGGCGTCCGTTTAAGTTTCGAAGGGATGATGTCAACTTCACTATTTGTTTCAACGTAATCAGCAACCCTTTAACAAGGACATTATAATAGAAAATGCCAGCTGATGAATACTGGGAGACATATACATTGACATTTTTACATTTTGCTTGAAATTCCTCATGTAACTTTATACATCTCGTTGATAAAAAAGGAAAATATATTCCTCTTGTGTTTATGTGTTTATTGTATTGCATAGAAAGTCCAAAGAACTACACCATCATAGTTTATGTAGTCTTGATTCAATTTGAGAAAACAGACGTATCATTTTTCCCACCAGCTGTTCATGATAACTTTTAAAAAGAATGTGGTTTAAATAAGGAAATTGTATTTTCATCCGCTCTCTTGGGGTGTTGTTGTTTTCAGATGACACAAGCATAGGGTTGGTGTATTGGCTAGCTTATCGTGATTTTTTTACGACTAAATCGGTCCACTTTTTTAGAGTGTAGATACGTTTTTTCCGAGTGATACTACATCCGATAAGATTGATTCACTTCTATTTTGCATGCATAATAGGTTTTTATGCATGACTGTTCATCTATTATGTTTTGAACAAAAACGATGCACCATTTCAATGCAATTCCCTTAAAATGCAGTGTTTTACCTTGTCCGTTTTTTTCGAGAGCAAAAAAGAACAAATGCAGACTTGGCCTTATAATCAGGCGTTTTCTTGTTCATACCTGTAATTAGGTGAAGGACAATATCATATTTCAAAATGGGGTAAATTTTTACTCATTTTCAATTCAATGCTATTTCTTTACCCTAACCTCTGGTATTTGAGTAAATGTATATTAGAAATCACTGGATCCTTTATGAAACGGTCTTAAGAACCAGCACAGAGGACTCATAATCTTTTCAATTTCATTTCATGCTACCTTTATTTTTACAGTCAATGTATTGGTTTCATGCTTTGAAAACAACTGTGTTTGAACTTTTTTTTTTTTTGGTTTAAACGTTAATGCATGGAAATATAACATGTAATCCATAGGAATTTTGTTAATTCACTTGATAAAAAAAAAACTGACTGCACTCCAAAAACCCAAACTGATCTCGAAAAAAAACGAAAATATCAACATGAATTTATTTTGAAAATGACCTTCTAAATGCAATAACAAGGTTTTGGTAAAGTGTCTGTATACCTTAGGATATAATGTTCCATGTATGCATTTTCTTTGATATTTGCACTGGTATAAGTATAAAAATAGTTTTATTCTATATTTTACATTTATAATCATGTTCAGAGGGATACAAAAACATAGTTACACTAAAATACACGATAAAATCATTCAGCCGGACACTATACCTACTGTGATGATGTCGAATGATTAATTCTGTTAGCTGTATATCAATATATGAATAAATTGTGGACTAGAATTTATATTGAAATATTGTTTTAACTCTTTACCATGATCCTCAAAATGTAATGTTGATAAATCGCAAATGCCCTATAGAACGAGCGCAAACGCCTATTTTTAAAAGCGAAAATGTCCTTAAAATCATTGCGCAAATGTCCGTTCAAAATGTTTAAACGTTCCTTGCCGACCTGAATTAATTTCAAATCACTTACAATACTGAAATTAAGCAACGTAAAAAACTAAACATTACAATGGTTTTACGAATGATATACCAAAAATAAGGTTTTTCATTACTTTATCCATAAAAAAAAATAACTACTGATTTAAATCAGACAACAGATTGACATTTAACATAGATATGGTCATGCTTATTGCAACCAAATTCGTTATTGTAATTTTGGTGTCCTTTGAATCGGCGTCTCACATTTAAAAAGCGATAAATAAGGTTTTAGATATGTACATGATGTATGAACAAAAAAAAAAATTCCAAGTCTACATATTATGTGTGGCCTAATCAATATTTTGCATCCATAAAGATCGTTTCAAAACACATTCAAAGCAATTAATGGAGATTAATGTTCCCGTGTATGTACCTATGGAAGAACTTGACATGAGTTATTCACTCGCTATGTTTTAAAGCGATACATGAAAAGTAATGTAATAAAATGCAGTGTCATATCATTTTTTTCGATTATTTGAGTTTGCTATGTTTTGATGTGTAGTACCACCAATCATTGTACGTTCAGATGATATAAAGAAAAGAAAAAGAAGAAAAAGTAGATAATAACTTTATATACACCCTTTTAAAAGTGATAAATGATTGTCTACTCTTAAACAGTGATATCTTTAGATAAATAGTTTAGATTTTAAAGTATTTAAAGTGTTGATGCAGCTTATATTGACATCAAGCCCAATTTTATCGTCAAGAATATGATGTAAATAGTGTACAGTGATATTGGTGGAAGATATTTTTATTCATGTTGTGAACGCCAATACTCGGAAGAGGTGTGCCTACATTGGCAGAATTTATATAACAGATACACACACAGTACGTCACATCCGCTTTCATATGAAAAACGGTCGAATAAAATATTCCTGTAGGATACTAACCCTTCATTTCACTGCACACTTATATATTAGTGATTCATTAGCATATATCTTGTTCAAAGCACCTTCATTTTCTATGTGGTGTTTCTATTAAATATTTTGGAAACTTAAGCTTGTTAAAGGGGAACATCTGTGCACATATGGTGATGGTTATTATCGTAGATGCAATGAAAATTTATGGCAATTTTTCGCTGTATAGTACTTCTTCTTCTTTCAGTTTCCGCACTCCATCATAATATTGATGACTATGTGCCGTGCATGCGTGGGTAAAATTTACAATTATATATTTACATAAAAAAATAAATAAAGAAATAATAACTTGTTTTTGATTTTCACTGTACATATAAGATAAAACTATTTACAAGGTGTTGCAATTACATGGTGTAGTATTGGTTGAGAACAGATGTAGGAATCTGTTCTCTGAAGGCTTCAACTGTGGTGCATTGGACAGAAGTAACTGGTAAAAGGTTCCATTGGATGATTGTCCTTTGATAGAATGAAAAATTATATGAGTCTTTTTTGCCTGTATGTGCCTGAATGAGTGACTGTGAGTGTATTGTCTTGAACGACTGTCTGATGGTATTAACAAGTTTGTGGGGTATATTGCTACTTGGTGGTGTATAATTTTGAAGAAAAATATAAGTCTTGTTTTTATTCTTCTAAGTTCAAGTGTTGGCCAGTTGAGATGGTTAAGCATGTTTGTCACAGGGCTGGTGTTATGGTATCGATTCCATGTATACCTGACTGACCATTTCTATTTGTGATTTTTGTGATTTTGTATGTAGGTCCCAGATGCAGCTACCATACTCTAGCTTTGGTCTCACAAGTGAGATATAGGGCTTTTCTTTAACTGACTGTGAGCTGACTTAAAGTTTTTTTTTTATTAAAATTCAGTTGTTTAGTTGCATTTGCTGAGATGTTATTTATGTGTTTGTTAAATTTTACATCAGTTTGTATTGTTAAGCCAAGATATTTAGTAGATGTTTCTTGTTGCAAAGTGTGCCCATGTAAGATGTAATCATATGGGTGAGGGGTTTTCTTTGTTGTTACTTGGAGGACTGAACACTTGTCCGGATGGAAGGACATGAGCCAGTCCTCTTCACACTTTACTGCTGCTGCTAGGTCTTCTGAGTCATGTTTATTTTTTATGGTTTTGTAAATAATGCTGTCATCTGCAAAAAGTATAAGAGTGCCATGTTTAATATAATTATTCAGATCGTTTATGTACACCAGGAATAGGATAGGACCTAGTACCGTTTCTTGCGGTACTCCTGATGTGACATGTATTTGTTCAGATTTGGTGCCTTCCAGTAATACCGTTTGTGTGCGAAGTGAGAGAAAGTCTTCTATCTAATTCAATGTTTTGTTGTCGACACCATAGTGTTTAAGTTTATAAAGTAGTCTTTTGTGAGGGACTTTGTCAAATGCTTTGGCAAAGTCCATCACAATTACGTCAGTTTGAATGTTAGCATTGCTATATTTTGCCAGTTCTTGTATGAATGATACTAACTGGGTTTCGTAAGATCTTGAGGAGCGAAACCCATGTTGTAGATCGTATAGAATGTTGTTATTTCCCAGATGTGCCATGATGTTACTTGCTAATATGTGCTCCATGATCTTACATAGGATGCATGTTAGGGATATAGGCCTGCAGTTGATAGGGTTATGTTTATCTCCCTTTTTGAATACTGGGCAGACGTTGGAATGCTTCCAGTCAGTAGATATTTTTCCGGTGTTCAGGGATTTTTCGAAGATTAATGTTATTATGGGTGCGATGTCAGTACTAAGTTCTTTAAGCATACGTCCATATATGCCATCTGGCCCTGTGGCCTTGTGTGGGTAAATCTTTTCTAAGAGTTTAAGTATGCCTTTCTCTGAAATTTGTATGGTGTTCATGTTTGGATGGTTAGAAATTCCCATGTCAGGTATTGTTTCACTGGATGTTTCTGTTGAGGATGCCTTCTGAAATTGGTTGTTTAGTAAATTGGCCTTTTCTTCGGTGTTATCAGTAAGTATGCCATCTTTTCATAATGCTGCAATGCCTGAACTGTCATTTTTCATGTTTTTGATGTAACTGTACAAGTTTTTAAGTTGTCTTTTAATTATGTTATTATCTGGTTCGTTTACTGGGAGATCAAATATCATGTTCTCGATGTAATTCCAGTAAGATCTTCTCATATCTGTTTGAATTGATTTTTGAGATGCTTGTACTTTTTCTTCAGTTGTTCATTTTTTCTGCTCTTTTTATGAAGTCGTTTAGCTTTGTTGATGTAAATTTTAAGCTTGTTATTAACCCATGGTAATTTTTTCTTGTTGGTAACTATTTTGTGTGGGATATTTGCTTCTACTGATTGTGTTAGAGCTTCTGTGAATGTATTCCATAGAATATTTGAGGTTGATTCTTCAAATTGCTCTTTAATTTTGCATAAGAGTGTTCCTAAATCTGTTCTTATTTTACTCCAGTCAGCTTTGATATATTGTAGTACTTTAATTGGTTGTTTTTTGTTTCTTTTCAAAGATACATTGCATTCAGAATAGATAATGTCGTGGTCCGCATTCCCTTCCCAATAGGGGGCATAGTTTCGGTCTTGTTAACTATGCTTGGTGTTTTCGTGAGTAGGTCAAGTATTCGATCACCTTTAGTAGGCTTATTTACAATTTGCTCTAAAGAGTGGTCATTTATGATGTCTAAGAGTTGTGTGTGCAGTTTAATTTCTGTTTTGCCTGCAATAATGCATGGTACTTTCCAGTCAATGTGGCCGAGGTTGAAGTCGCCACCTAGCATCACTGTGGTTTTTGTATTATTGTTAATGCGATTAAATGAGATGTTTAGATTTTCAAGTGATATGCCATTGTCTGAAGGTGGTCTATAGTAACAGCCTAGTATAAGTTTTCTTGCATTTGTCATGTTTATTTCTGCCCATATGCTTTCAGAGTCTGTTTGTAATTCTCTGCTTTCATTTAATAGTAATTGTGTTGATAAGGCAATGAGGACGCCACCGTAGCTTTGGTTATTATTGGATGGAGGGCGGTCTTTCCTATACACTGTGTAATCATTAGCTGGAAAGAATTCAGATGATAATATATCGCTACTGAGCCAGGTTTCAGTGTCCAATATTATTTCTGGTTGTACAGATGAAATAATTTCATCTAGTTCAGCCTTTTTATTTTTAATAGACTGAAAGTTTATTGTTAGTATTTTCAATGGTGTTTCTTTCTTTTGAGCTTTCTTGACATAAGTTTGTTTTATAGGTGACGATGTTGCTTTAGGTAAGCCAGGACTTCCTACTGAATATTCTGATAATTGTGAGAATGAGTTTGTTGTTACAGGTATGGTAAGGTCAAAAATGGATGAGGAGAAGTTTGGCATACCACATTATATGCACGCCCAAGATATATTTGATGAATCCATACATTGATATACATTAGATGACATGCCTTGACAGTTTGCATGATACCAAACATCACATGAATCGCAACAGAGTGCCTTTTGTTTCCATGTGACAGCTTTTCCACACGTTCCCACAGGGCCACCTAGGTGTTCTGGGGCCTGGGTTTATTTCAGTCTCCTGATAGTGCCAGTACTAGTAACATAGATATGTTTTTGATTGTTTGATGTACCTTTGATGTGATTTATCTGTAATAGCTCTGTGGTTTGTAAAATACACTGATGATATGCTATGCATATTACCAAAAGAATCTATTAAGTCAGCTGGTGTGTTCATTTGTACAGGTTGGTTGTACAGTTTAAGGAATAGTATTGATAGTATGACTAAGTGAAGAGTTAATACATAAGCCATGACTACAACTTTTGTATGTCAGATATGGTTCCTTATAAGTTATAATTCGCAAACAGATAAAGGGTGCACGTGTTGAGAATTCAAGTGCAAGGACAATTTACACAGTACCTGTTAGCTCATAGATGTGTTAAGTCTTCGTTCCCTGGGCTCCTCAGGGCTACAGATTAGGTTGACAGATAGCCATGTTAGTAAGAACTGTTGTAAAGTTTGGGGTTTTTTCAGTGCATAGAAACCGGAAATTCTTGACCGGATGTTTACGTGTTTCTAGGCGTGATGTGTCAAAAAATTATGATTATTTTGTTTTGTTTTCAGTGTGATTTTATGTTATCATATGATGGATTTATGATAAATATGGGAGTGTTTATGTATAAAAATGCAAAAGGTCGAAAAATTTCAATGTGAACTTCAAATAAACAAAGTTTTACGAAATTTGTTTTAGCAGCTCCAAAAATCACCCTTCCATTCCCACGCATGCGCAATACTGTGACAGGATAAGACTTTTTATGTCCCCCACCCCCAAACTGAAGATAACTCCACCTACAGTTTGAATCCTATGAAGTTTTCACTTTGCTGGCTGTTTGTACATATATTGAAGGTGTGCATGGGTTTTGATTTCAATTGATACTGGCTCTTTCGCGAGTTAGTTGAATTTTGTCATGTTTGGAGTATATATTTGCATAAGAGGTGCATAGCTATTTTAGATAACTCCATCTAGTTTGAAAGCTAGAAAATTTTCACTTTGCTGGCTGTTTGTACATATTGAACTGAAGGTGTGCAACTGGTCAGGGTTTTAATTTTTATTCATATTTGCTTTTTTGGGAGAGAGTTTAACTTTGTCATTTTTTGAAGTATTTACTTGCATGAGATGTGCTTAGCGTTTCTGCATAACTCCTCCTACAGTGAAGCATAGACCTATGTACTCCTAAGCTCAACTTTGTGTATTTTAAAATAATACTTTTCATTGTGAGGGGCATCATTTGTGTCTCCCAGACACAAAATTATATCAAAGAAAGTCCTCCATTGACTTTGTTGTAACACAGTTACTTGAACAAATGCCAATTTAACAAATACTGATAAGGGAAAAACAATGTTGATGTTACTCTTATTTAAGAAATCTGCACAAAGTAAGCCAAACTCAGTATTTTGGGAAGCTTTTTCAGTCTTTTTTTCCAAATTTCCTAGAATGTGGAATAAAAGAAAACTTTTTCAAAATTAATTCTTTAAGAAATATACAGTAATAAGATAAATTGTTATCACAGAGAGATGTCTCACTTTTTTGTAAATTTGATTAAGCAAATGTTGACATTAAAATAGCAATACTTAACATGTTACATAAGTTAGGCAAATATTCAGTCAATGAATCATGAATGAGGTACTTGGCTAAGCAATCTCAATTTAAATGAGATATGCCAATGCTAATACAACTGCATACCAAATATCATTGACTTATTATAACTCGTTTCCTTTAAACAAACCTTTACACAAACATTAACTTGTAAACTTTTTAAAAGTTTCAAAGTCAATGAACCATGAAGAGAGGGTGGCGCTATATAATCTCCATGGAAACAATACTTACAAATGCCAATAAATTTAAATACCAAATACATTGATTTAACATTAACATTTCATCTTAAACTGATCTAATCACAATCTAATTGAAATTAAATCTCCGCACTTGTTCCTCGTTGTTTATATGTCGCACATGGGAGGATCTAATCACAAAATAATTCATATAAACTAAGCAAAAGTTTCAAAGTCAATAGACCATGACTGAGGGGATGGGGCCAAATATTCTCCATGGAAATGAGATGTGCTAATGCTGATACAACTGAAAACCAACTAACATTGGCCTACCACTAATGGATCCCCCTGAACTGACCTAATCACAAACTAATACATGTTAACTAAGCAATATTTTCAAAGTCAATAGACCATTACTAAGGGGACGGAGCCAAATAATCTCCATGGAAATGAGATATGCCAATGCTTATACTACTGCATACCAAATATCATTGATCTGCCACTAGTGGTTCCCTGTAAACTGACCTAATCACAAACTAATACATGTATAATAATCAAAAGTTTCAAAGTCAATAGACCATGACTGAGGGGGCAGGGCCAAATAATCTCCATGGCAATGAGATGTGCCAATGCTAATACAACTGCATACCAAATATGATTGACCTACCACTTGTGGTTCACCATAAACCACTCTGTCAAGCGAGACAAAAATGAAATTTTTTGGAAATCAGTAACAACAAATTATTTTCTAAAAAGGAACCATTATTTGTTCCACTTTGGAGCGTTTAAAGTTTTAAGTTTTACCTAAGGGCTATTAGTATTGTGAAGCATGAAATTGTTTTAAATGCACATATTTTATTAATTGTTGATATGTGACACGCTAAGCAAATCAGTTTTCAGTACCGAGGTGCAAATCTTCAGTTGGAAGTCTGAAGTGAGGATCCTGTAAAAAACTGGGAAAGTCTCGAAAGTGAAAATATTTCCTTATCCTCTAATAATATCATTCCTAGCCGACGGTAAAGATCCTCTTCTCTTCATCTGTGGCAGATTAAGAGAGAATTTGTGAATACACTGCTGTTCCGTCTAGTGACAGATAGAAGTGAGGCCCGTCCAACTATATCATTCTTATCCCATGAGAACATTTGTACTACTTCTAGTTTTGATATGCATAAATGGCTGCGACCAGTGATAAAAAAAATATAAAGCAGAAACTGCATATATATGTTGAAATTTCATTTTTTGCACTTGGAACATACCAAAGAACTTCAATAAGTTGATGAAATAATTATAAGTATTAATAAAAAAAATCTTACATATTTTGGGTAAAGACTTGTGGCACAACCTGCACGTTTCATTTATCTAATTATATCTTCACAACATTTACACATGTTCCTCTCAAAAGCACTTTTTGATTGGATGCAGCCAAAGACTGTGACAAATGGAAATCATTACCTCATGGATCCAAAATGCTGGCTTAATCTACCAAGGGTGAAGAGAAGGGTGTCCAGATAGTTACACATGGGTAGGAAAGATGCCAAATAGTGAAGTTTATTGACAAATTACAAGACTTAGTGTAAAAAAAATAAAGCAGTATGCTTAGTTTTTTTTCATAATTTAATAACTACTATGTGTTTCAATGTTTCAAAACATGATGGGTAATTTAACAAACATTACAAAACAACAATATTGCACTGTTCATATTTGGCTCAATATATCTGAGAATAACATACACATTTAAACAATTAATATTTCTGTTACTACTCTGTAAATCTATGAAATAAAGGGTTTGAGTCATCCCTACATCATATACAACTAGATCTGCTCTGTAAACTGTGATCAGACATTTTAATTTGTCCAATTCTTTCCTTTTCCTGTATTTATCAATAACATTGAGTTAAGCAACCATCTTTTGTGACAATTTTTCACATACATTCTAAGCATGACTTCTTCAGAAAATTCTATATAAAATTGTTGTAATTTAAGAAATAATTATGGTGAATACAGAAATTAGAGTAATTAAAACAAGTAAAGGAACAAGTATCAGGCTGCTAAATACCAGGGGCTCTTTTCACAATAAAATCTTACCATGAAAGTTGACTGCAACTTATATTGAAATGTTCATAACTTAGACTCAGATCTATATGAATCTGTAAAACATATATAGACAAATGTCATTTATACAGTATGCTCCATATTTATATAAAAAAAAGTGGCATGTCCAAAACAATCATCTTCAAAGTAGCATAGATGTTGGTTGATGAAAGATGACAATAACTCTTGTTTCTAAGATATTTCTTTAGTAATAGTAGTTCAGTTTTTATGATTCTTCCTCGTAAATCTCTTTTTTATCCTTGAATAATTCATTGTCTTCAACATGTTTTTCCAGAGAACTGAAGTAGTTGATTAATGCATTAATCAAATCTCTTTTTGGCCACTTACATTTAGATCAAGGATGGATTTTGCTTTTAATCCATAGGATCAAATGATATCAAATAAATATACTTTGAACCTAAATTGTCATTAAGTTGATCTAAGCCAATGAAAACTAAACTGGATGATCTATGAGCAAAGCTCACAAAATGATACCCACCTGCCCCTTTCAAATCCATGCTTTGGTAAGGGAAACCCATAACTTATGCTGATAAAAAACAATATGGAGGTGCATAATAGCATGATAATGTTACATTTGTGAGAAAGATTCCATAGACGTAAAAAAAAAAATATCGCCATAATTGATTTTTTTCCACTTTTAAATTTTGTTACTTTTTGTGTTCATTATCCCTTCTTTTAGATATATTCCCAACTTTGACCTATACATATTATATCAGCTGTGTTTAAAGGCTCTTCTTTTGTACCCAAAATCTGAATCAAAATGTGTTTAAGAAACAGAAGGAAATATTTAAAGTATCACATCATTGAAATGACTATTAATTAATGCAAATAACACAGTTAATTATAGTCATCAACTTTAAAAAAAAAAAAATTAACAGATCTTTTCTAATAATCACACAATACACAATCTAGATGTAATACACAGATGCTCCAAACAATCAAAAATGTAAGTCACAGTGACCTTAATGTTGATAATCAGTTGTATACTATAAATGAGGAATTGCAGTAACAAAATGTCTAGGATTAACATATAGTTAGAGACGAAAGATGAAACAAAAAGCATAACTTAACAAAAGTCACTCATGAATAAAATGTAGGTTACACTGACACAAATTTTAATAAATTAAATTTATTGTTCTCAACATGCATAACAAGAGGACTCATATATCATTGATATTACCAAAGATTCTGAAATATTGACCTAATAAAAAAAATTAACCAAGTTAGTAAGCACATAAATTATAGATTCTTATTCTTTATAACAAAATTGCTTCACTACAAATTGAAAATTAATTGTTTGTTAGAAACAAATAAATCCGTAATGTCATACAGGATAAAACCCTAGTGTACAACTCACTGATCATGATTATATAAGGTTTTTTTTCAATTTTTTGGGGGGAAAACAATTCTTTCGCTATTCATACTTTCATGATTTACAATTTTTTAAAGAAATATTGTTTTGTGAATTCCAATCTAAAATTTTAAAGAAAGATATAATTTTTTTTCTGCGCCTCATTTTATAAAAGATTTTTCTTATCTAACAATAAAAAAATCAATTTACTAATGACAAAAAAAAAAACACTTTTCAACTTTTACAAAACATTTTAACATATAATTGTTTAAAGCTATAAAATGCAAAAAAAAAATATTTCAAAAAGTCAGTTATCCTTCTTAATGTCTTTAAGCCTAATGTTTTTAAGGACCTAATTGTTAAATGGGTGTGGAAGGGTAGGAAGGGACTTCCAAAATCCCCTTACAACCAAAATATTTTCTTTGGGTAAATTGCATACATAAAATGGACACACAACCTTGAATGATTTACGACCCTTATTCAAAAATAGAATTTCTCTTCCTACCCTGTCACATCTATTTCAATGGAATAACCTTAAATCTAATATGACATTAATGGCAGGATACGAGCATATTCAAATTTTTTAACAAAAAACATATTCAGTTCTACATCATAACAATTCAGGTAATTTCAGGGCAGGTAACATTGAATCAACACAGTTCACCCAGAAGTTAGCACATGTAGCATGATACTGTCTCCCCCCATATGTCAACTTGGAAGCTTCTTCATCTGTGTTAAAATCTTTACTCCTGACATCCACGTCCAACAGGCATACTCCACAAGATCTCATCTGTGATGCCACGTCATCAGACTTCAGAAGGCAGTTCTTAAAACTTAGTGCATTGTCATCAGGCTTAAATAAAAGAGAAAAAAATATAATGATTACATTTGTTTGCAATGAAATGCTGTGATTTCTCTTAATACAAATTGATAAATTCACATGTGAAATAAATCATGTAATTCAATAAGTGTTGTTATGAGGTTATCCATGAAGTTGACCAAAACAAATTGAGAACCTGTATAAAAATGTATAGTTCCTTGAATATCTTCTATGTATACTTTATTTACATTAAAATTCAATGTAATTAAAATCTATAACGAAATCAAGTAATTCAAATATCTAAAAAATATTCAATTCATGACAGAACAATAATCACAAATCACTCATGCTTTATGCAAATTCTTGAATTAATGTGTTATTCAGTCACTCATGGATAATTTTCATATTGATTCTTTGATTAGAACAATAATTTTGTTTGTCTGATAAAATAGTTCATTTTGCAAAGAATCTAGTGTGGATATGCATAAGAAAACATTCCCACAATAAACTGGAAAATGACCATGGCTCATTGCTAAGGGATTAATGGTGACCTGTTCTCATCTTTGACCTTTAGTCACTCTCTTTAATGGATAGTTGTCTCATTAGCAATACTACCACATCTCCTTATTTTTATATATGTAAAAGGCATGGTTAATTTTCTGCTGTTTTTGGTCTTGAAAGTAGGTAAATATTCAGAAATTGTCCATTACTACAAAATCAAAATGACAGTATATGATCATGTCGGCCGTACTCCTTTGGTAAAAGCATCTATTGTCAAAAAAAAACATTTATATTGTAAGTCATAGATATGATTTTCTAACCCTTTTGTAAGAAGTATATTTAAAGTAAAAACAGTAACAATAGAAATTCCTTGCAATATTTAATGGTGAAAATAAAATTTCAAAATTTGAATAAATTTGTAACATATTGTACTATAAAAATCAAATTACTATACATACCATTATATTACCCCCTACTAAAAAGGCAGCAAGGTTGTTCCATACCAGGTCAACATCCTTCAATACCTGACCTAGCTTGTCTGTACTTAAAGCTATAAATATTTGTAAAAAATGTCAATTTAAGTAAACTGTCTATATATATAACATTGGAAGAAAAACTATGAAAAATCCAGCAGTATCAAATTAAATAGTTTTATATTACCTGCAAGTTGTATGAATTGAATGGTTTTGCAAGAGTAACTAACTTTTAAAAGATCATGAATTTATTTTTGAAAGTCAGCTCTATGCATGTCTAAGGAAACTTATAACAAAAGCAACATTAAAACAACAGTGTTTAACGAGACGATATTGTGTTTGCTTTCAATTTTTTCAAATATATATATATATAAAGCATTCATTTGTATTGTTTTTTCTTGTAATGAAATGCTGTGAATTCATTATTATTCATGGGATACTAATTTCATGAATTTCCTAGTTTATAGGTAAACCACAATAAATGAAATTATACATTTTTCTTTGTCCTGATGATTTTTGTAAAAAGGCAGCAGTCATTTTTTGGCTTGTGATAATACTACACGACATAAAGAATACATTATTCTGTTTCCAAAAATTATTTGCCTCCCAATGCCATTGTCAGCCCAACTAATCCTAAATACTGGATATATTCTTGAAGGAAGATTGAAAATGAAAGTGTTACTGATTTCTTTTCTTCAAAAATATTCTTTCATTCAAGAAAAATTTATATCTTATATTTTTTCCTTCTATAAAAAAGATCAAAGGGTTGAAGATTTATGGAATCACGTTCCCCTGTTTTTTTTATTAATTCTACATCCAAAAATACTTGATGCTTGACAAATAGTATACAATGTAGTCACTTGACTAATGGTGAAAACTATATTTCGGAATGTTTTTAGTTGTTAGATAGCTGTCTTATTGATCCATACCACATCTCCCTTTAGTCATATATAATAGTTGCAATACATCTTATATGGGAACACACATCTTTCTGACCTTTTGTGTTAACTATGTTTTATACCTTGAAAATATCTATTCATTGGATACTAATTTTTATGGATTTCATGGGTAAATATGAACCACAAATTTAAATGTTCAACAAAGTATAAAACCACAAAATCAAATATCCATGAAAAGTTTTCCTCTATGCAAAAAAATTGGTACCAATGAAAATAAATGAATCTACAGTAAATGTTTATTTTCAGTTGTCATACTAATGCATATGCATGGAAATCTGTTTATTTTTTAAAAAAAGTCTATCAAACTTTAATATTCACAAGTCTAAATTGAAAACAACGTTCAAACCTATGATTGCGTTGGATAAAAACCACAATCAATTTTTATACGTGTGAATGTAAAAAAAAATTCTTGGTAGAGGGGTCTAAATACAGCACAAACAACATTTTTCAAAAGACCAAAAAGTGAAACAGTATATTTCAACAAAACGCATTTGACTAACAGGTCGACCAACTGATGTTCTTAAACCCTGCTGACTGCCATTGGGGATTGCCAAATAAATTGATCACCAGATGTAAAAAATGGATCTTACATATTAATTTAAAACCAAACAGAAAACAATAAATTTATGGAAAAGATGGTATACCGCAAACATGAGGTGCAAAAATTTGTACACCATATCCGGATTTCGACAATTAAACTTTAATATTCATATATATTTAAATTAAAATATTTTCTATATCAATTAACTATCATTTACTTGTGAACTCAGCTTACCTGCTGACTTCATAGACACTGTTATTCTACAAACAATTCTATAAATTTCCACTATACCTGTAATGATATCATATGTTTAAACAATACGTATGTACATAACATTTCAATTTTTCTTTATTTGCCTGAAAAATGACAAAATAACAGTGCCGTATATTTTTACAATTCTTAAATTTCAATACATATTTTTACCTTGCTTTGATTTAAGTGTGATCTTTTATTTTTTTATTGGTCTGACCATGTGTTGTTAAATGATTTTTTGTGTTTGTTTGTTTGTGTTTTTTTTCAGAGTAGTTGTATGTTAGATGATTCAGTCTGTTGTACTGATAGTATTTTTGGTGATTCCTTCTACTTTTTTTTATGTATCATATATTCATACTATTAAATTTAGTATTAACTAAAAAAATATTAACACAACTAGACTCAGAGGTGATATATATATAAAGCACTCTAAATAATATCATTATTATTATTATATTATAATAGACAGTATGAAATAGCTTTCTTAAATCAACCCATATTACACTAGCCTGTGAAAGGATATATCTTCCACACAATATTTGTTGTTTTTTTCTGTTCATTTATTATAAATGGTACTTTTTCTGAGGGTCTCAATTATAATACTTACTGGCCTTTCACAAATACAGAGATTTCAATTCAATTATATGTCGAGACTTCATGAAACCTGTTAAAAGTATTGTGTCAATTTTTGTTCTCCTATGAAGCAGAATTCGAACAAAGGCTGATGCTACCTTAGCTAGCTTCCTGTAGGAGCAAGCACATTTTGACCCTGCTTTCCAAATTATGTGTCGTCTTTTAATTTCCTTGTTAAAGTAAGGGATCATGCTGTTGAAAGTAACACTGGGCAGGTTTTTTATTTTGTGTTTTACTCTGACAACATGTGGTCTAGATCAGCTGTTTGTGGTTCTCTCTGGGCACTCTGGCTCCCTCCACCAAGATGGTCTCCACTATATAGCCAATAGTACTGAAAGTGATGTTCAAACACCAACAATCAATCAATCTATCTGTTTATTCTATTGAGTATATATATTTCATATCAATTTTTTTTATCCATATTTTTAAAAAACAAATAATATAACTAAAAGTACTATCATATAACCTCCTTACCCTGTACATATTCTGTCCCTTGCTCTGACCTTATAACCTCATTACAGACACCAGAACTACTGATAGAGTTAAAAATGTTATTAGCTTCTTTAATATTTCTGTAACAATTCTCTAAACACCTCTGCCATTCATATGCATACTTGTCAGAACCCTGCAAAATAAAAATTTCCCATCAATCATTATATAACTTCAGTTATGGTTTTAAATGCAGAAAAAGAGGTATGATGTTCTGAGTCTGAGTAAATATAGTTTAATTTACTGTTATTTCATGATAACCCTCAAACTCATGGTTATGTAAGATTTGTTAAGCATGTGTGTGTGTTTACTATGACTTTTATTTCTATTGTTTATTTTACAAAATGTTCAGTTAAGTAACTGTTTGACCATATTGCATGAAATGTGAATTTATTATTATTCATGGGGTGTCAATTTTGGGGAATTTGTAGATAAAGTTGAACCACTCATTCAAGTGTTCGACAAAGTACAAATTTCAAATAGGCTGTTATGCAATCTTTGGCAAAAGCACTAAATGAAGCATCCTCAAAAAACATTTTGTGTCCCTATCCACGAAAATTGGTACCAAGGAAAATAAGTGAATCCACAGTATGTCACTTGATTTCAGAAATTAAGCAAGATGGACAATATGTCACTCAATAAAGGACAATAGAAACTTGTTTAATCTTACAATGGGACCAAAAAAAGCATCTTAAACTATAAAAGCAGACCTTAATCAAGATCATGAACTTTCAATGAAGATTTTAAGCACAAAGTTAATTGAAGGTTCCACTGTACACTTACTGTAATATCATCCATGATACCACTGTATCGGTCACCAAACAATAGAACAGGCTTAGTGGTAGGTCCTCCAAAACTAGTTGCATCTAAAATATAAAATCTGTAGTGAAAAACAATAACTGAATTATTTTTTTTTTTTACATTCTATATCAGATTCATTCTTTGTTCAAAACAATTACGTTCTTTAATCACCAGCGATCACCCTGATTCACAGTGTATCACATTCACAAGGAAGAGTAACTTTTGATGGATCACCTTGTGTGAACTGTACCACTGAGACCATTTTTCAACTAGAATGACCTCCATGGCAGATGTCAGTAGTGCTGCCTCATTTATGTATACCCCACATCCCCTTTTATTCACGACTTTTATACCTGTGATGCTCTAGACTGTGTCTAATATTCAGTTAGTTTTTCCAATCTGTTGATGAAATTCAAATAAGTGTAACATTCATTCCATCAAAAGCCTGTCAACACAATGCGTCTATTGTGTTTTATATTACCTGGTTTGCTTGTTATTTCTTCTGTAACTTTGTCTGCATCTGTTTCTTCTTTCTGTTCATCATTTTCAGATTTCTCCTCCATGTCAGAACTGTCTGCAGATTTACTTTCCCCAGACTTTGGTTCTGAAATCTTCAAATCTAAACTGTCAACAGATTTGGAGTCTGGTAAAGTCTTTATCTGTGGGAAATCTGCAGCAAATTCGTTGCTAGAAATAGACACTGAGTCACTATCCTTCACATTCAGAACATTTTTAGAAAATGGCAGTTCTAAACTTGATACTGAGTTTGTATCCTCTGGTTTAAGTCCTTTGTTTATTTTAGTGTCAAACTGTACGCTGTCAGCAGCGAAGTTAAATTGATTTGACGAATCAGAGTCTGTTTTCTTGTGAGTTTTCTCCTTTGTGGATTTAGACTGTGTTGTGAATTCCATGCCGTACATGGAGTAAATTTTCTTCTTTTCTTGCGTATTTTGGGGAGGTGTATGTGTAACATCATCAATGTCATATCCTCGACTAAAATCACCGTATTCATCTTCATCATCTACACCCTCATCCATGGGTGGTGGAACTCTGAAAAAGTCATCATCATCATCAACGGATAGTTTTGGAATGTTTTGTGGTGGGTTAATGTCTACCTTAGACGTGGGAAAGTTTTGCTGAAAAGGTGCTGGCTGGTCTATGGATGTTTCAAGATACCCTTTTTTGTCCTGTTTAGCTGTTCCTTCGTTATCATCTTGAGACAAGTCTGGTAGTTTATATGAAGTCAAAACAGATGGGTCATCTCTTGGTTTAAAAAGTCCCAATATTTCATTATGTTGTAAATTCTTCTTTTTCACAGTGACCAAGTCTGATTGACTTACAGAAATTATTGGTGCGGGTGTTTCATCGATGGATGAGGTCACTGTTAATGTACTGTCAACAATATTTTGAGAAGGCCCTTGAAAGTCTGCCCAATCATCACTTTCACGTTTCTGATTTGCTGTGGAGAAATTTGACCAATCGTCATTTGCTGTTGTATTTACTGCTAGATTATTAATCATATCTGATTCCTTTTGTGCACCTGCTGCACCACTGAAACCTGACCAATCATTATTTGAGTCTGAATTTGCTGCAGAATCGAACAAATTATCTGACAAACTCTGATCACCTGCAACAATTGTTTCTGTACTTTGAAAATCCGCCCATTCACCTTCATCCTCAGCCTCATTGCCTTCATCATCCTGCCCTTTACCAAAAATAGATGGACCTGATGTATCTATTGTTTCCAAAGTCCTAAATGCTGCATACTTGTCCTCATCTCCAATGAGGTCAGTTGCACTTTTTGATGCAGACAAATTATCGTCCTTGGTAACAACCTGGGGAGCCTGTTGAAAGTCAGCAAACTCAGAATCTGATGACTGTGGTGAAAATGTAGTAGTTTTAGTTAATGTAACAGCCTTTGGAGTAGCTGTTGCTTTTTTCTTGTCGTCTGGCTTTGGCCAAAGACTTTTGATTGCTGGTATTGGGTTGACATTGTTGTTATATGCTGTTGGTGGTAAATTTGTAGTTTTTGATATCGGCCTATGCAATGGACTCTCCTGTTTTTCAATATCCTTCTTTTTATTACTAAAGTCGTCCAGGTAAGACTCTAAAACTTTGAAGTCTTCATTCTCTGACTGTTCTGATGATGTAAACTGACTACTGTCACTAGGTCTACCTGCAGATTTAAAATCGTCAAAATCATCATCCATACTGTTTGGTGTTGAGGCCCCTACAAGTAAAAAGACAGATTTTCTTTCAAACTTTGAATTTAAGCAGTTATCAATTTTTTTTTTGTCTGCCACTTAACAATTCTTCAAATACAACTGACCACTTGCAAAATAACTGAATAAAACAGAATGGCCTGTACTGTACATGCTGTAGTAAGTAAGCCCTCTGAATGACCCACTGATGTATAAAAAAAAACAGTTGAATAAAATATGGCCTTTACTGTTCAGGTTTAAGTATATATTGAATACTGTAAATTCAGAAATTATTGCATGCATTAATAATTGCGAATCACTGATTACTGGAATAAGTGTGAGATCTAATTAATGCGATTAAAAAAAATTTGTGATGGAAAATCACTCCAAAATTATGAATAAAATTGAGAATGGAAATGGGGAATGTGTCAAACAGACAACAACCCGACCAAAGAGCAGAAAACAGCCCAAGGCCACCAATGGGTCTTCAACACAGCAAGAAAATCCCACACGGAGGCGATATTTTCTTGAATGCATTTTTTTTTTTGCAAACTTGATACTGTCTGATTTTTCGCAGTAATAAAAACATCGCAAAAATTTCTAAATTTACAGTATTGCAAAATAATTCATTCAGTAATTTGGACTTGATGTTGAATCTTTGATCATCTTAATTCATTCTAGCAATGTTTTTTAAACTCAGGACATACCTGCCATCTTTGGAAAATCTCCATGGGGGAATTTAAGCACAAGAGGACCTATGCATCACATATATATGTAAAAAGTGTTTTCAATCTTATATACTATGGTTTTGAATGAGTATATATGGGCTTAAATGCCAATTCAACTCCTTAAAATTCCTGCTTTGAGGTATTTAGTTTCCATAATAGAGGATTTCAAAAGTCAAGTCAGCATCTCTCATGAGGGAAATCATTTAAAAAATCAGGAGATTTGGCTAGACGTCTGACCTGAAGACAATTTAGAGCTTTCAATATAGAAAAGACTATTTTCTATTGTAAAAGAACCAACTGTGACCTCTGGATGTTTTTTATTTTGTGTATCATTGTGTTCCTTTCTCCCTCTATTTATAGTAAATGCCTCATTGTATAATATACAAGTTATACAACACTTGATGATGTTAATTCAATTTCTTCATTTTCATTTCCTCCATATATTTCATTTTAAAACATCAAATCATTTTGTTTTGATGTTTTACAATTTTTAGCTATTTCATAGTGATCAGATCAGATAAAATTAAACCTGACAATGATAGAAATGGATATTTAAAGTTTTACGAAGGCAGTTAATACTGTAAGTCAGACACGTGCCCCTACAATATGACTGCTTCATTTCTATTGTCAACACGCTTTTAGAATCATCAAAGGTAAAAACATGATGTGGAAAAAAACTAACAACAAAAAATAAATTTACACTAACTGTCAGAATTGATATTATTTTCAGTTTTTATACTAGATTATCCTAAAGAATACACTGCACGGGAAGATAACAATGAGAAATACAATCCAATTTACTTTGATTACTAAAATATTATCATGACTTGAGTTACCATACTGTGACTCTTTTCACAAAAAAATCTTCTTATGAGTATAAATACTCGTAAGTCTTTATACTCGTAAGTCATGAACATTTCAGTATAACTTACGATCAATTTTAGTCATAAGATTTTTTGTGAAAAGAGCCCCTGTATATTAGACAGAAAAACAATCAATCAAAACCATCTTGAATTACCAAGCTTATGAAAATGAAAAATGATAATGATCAATGGCTGTTTAACGTCCAGCAGCAAATTAAATGCATATTTAGGACAAGGACATGATAATGTTATATGAATATTAACCCTGCTTTGTACTAGACCAACACACTAAGCCACATTTTTTTGGTGCTTGTTCAAATGGCAACAGTCTGCAGGAACACATCTCACCTTACCCAGACACATTATTCTGATACTGAGCCGACCAGTTTTTGCTCTTTCTCTGTAATGCTGCTTACTTAGCGGATTTTTTAAAGTCTTTGGTTTGACCCCGGCCGAGGTTCGAACCCACAACTTCCCGCACTTGATGTCTAACTCAGGAAGTCTGATTATTATTTAAGTGTTAGATCAAATTAACTAAAGTTATTAGGTTCTTCCAAGAAAAATAAAATCATTGGTTATTGTTTTTGTCTTTTCTGAATAATTCAATGTTTTGGAGTTATTTCAAGCATTCAGAGAAATAAAAAAATGTCAAAATTGTCAACAATAAAAAAATTAAAATATTATAAAAATTACAGATAAATTGATACTACTAAAAAGGATGCTCATTAGAATTGAGTGATTAGTTCTACAAAGGTGTGTTCTAATCATGCATTACTTTAAGAAGAGGAATAGGAGAAGCAAAATATCTTAAGTTCAATATACATTCAGTCTATTATAGTATTAGTTAATAAGGAAAATTGCACTATTGGAAAAAATTATTTACCCCTTTTTTTCTTAAATTTTTCTTTCATCTTTCTGTAAGTTATTTTTCCATCTCAATCTGCTCAACTGGGATGGGGTTGTTATATTTCATTGAGGTATACCCTGCATCTTCATTTTAATTGTTAAAGATGTTTTCTTTATAAAATATGGACTGTTGAAATTGAAATTGTCCTATGATGCAGCTCAATTCAGGCAACTTTACCTCCAATAAATTTTATCTGAGTTTTATCTCAACAGCAAAAATTTATCTTAATATTGAAAATAATTTTTTCAAAGCATTTCACATGGGATACAGATGATATCCTTGCTTGCATATAATGTTATAAAGGGACATAACTAGAGAACTGTAAAAGTGACGCCACCAATATTCTACCTTGATCTGAGTTTTTTGGAAATTAGCATTGTGTGTAAGTTTCATAACATTTGGTTGAGGCAAACTAAAGTTAGAGAACGGAAACCAATTTTTGGACAAACAAACGTATGGACAGACAAGGGTAAACCTTAATGCATGCCCCATCCACTAAGGTGGGGGCATGAAAAAAAAGATTTTGTGCAAGAGGTTGTGTGCACTGCGTGATGGTACTGCTAACAAATCATTATACAGATAAACTTTTAAATAACACATATCAAATAAAATGTTATACTATTCATAAATTATCTAAAATTCTAACAATTAAGACCAACGCAAAAGTTCTTAACTTACCCCAAAGAAATACTGTAAACATGGGAGTTATTTGAGCACATTTTACAATCACATAAAAAGTGATAAAATTTCCTAAGCACGAATAATTTGTACAATTCAATAATATTGAAATGAAGAGCACACCCTAATTTCAAGGCACAAAATTTAACTCCTTACGTAAAGTTTATGATTTGAAATTGTTTTTAAATAAAAACAACAAAAAAATTGTGAAAATATACATGTTAACAGTAAATCTGTATTTGTCGTAATCTGCAATGAGGATTAGTTTATTTGGTTTTAATGCTTCTCAATTTTATTTCAAATTTCTAACCTATGGCAATAGATTATTTTTTTTTTTATTCTGGCCTCAACATCCTCATCAACCAACTGCAAAGTTATCATTTCAAGCTGGATATTATTTTCGTTCAAGCAAACAAAGCATTTATGATGGCAAATGTAAAAGGCTTTGTTTTGTTTATCAGCATTTCAGAAAGCTTCATATTCAGAACACAATTTGTCTATAAACAAGTCCCTTCCTTTATTCACTTGCTTATCTTTGAATTTAATAAAGACGCATTATACATTTGTAAAACTTATTAGCCATTTCCCAAAAAAGTTTGGGCCTTCATAAAATGTACTTCAAATTTATTTAAGTTTTTATTCTTTAAGAAAAAGAGTTGTCCCTTAGTGTTTTTAAAACTATTTTTTCACATCAAGAAAAACTATTGAACACAGGAAAAGGTAGTAAATATCAATCCTTAGCTTTTCTTATTGGCTAACCAAAATATTAATTCTGATGACAGACTAAAAAAGATAAAACAATGTTCACCGTGTTAAGGGCCTCACTGTGACTTTAAGATGAAAAACAGCAATAAAAGTGTTGTTTCTTTGCTTTTTGTGTGTTTTTTGCTGTGCATGTACTGATTTTGTGTCATGGATGGATACCCCATATCCTTTGTTTTTCTATTCTTGTCTGCTCTTTACTTTTCATAAATCTGATGGTATGGTCATACTAATTTAATTTTAGTTGGTTGGATTTTAGAAAGACGAAAAAGGTAAAAGCATAATTTTATGTAACTTTTTTTCTGAAATTTATCATTAAAAATAGCAATTAGAAAATATGATATAAAATTACATTTTGAAAAACCAAGTTTGCTAAGATATATGAACAGGCAATATTTTATTGCAAACCAAATGAAACTTTTCCACAGATTCATCTCCTATTGTTCAATCCATTTAAACTTTTGTTTCATTTGATTTGCAATAATATTTTTTTCCTATCAGATTTAAAAAAGACAAGTAAATTTTAGTAAGAAATAGGAACTAACTTTGCCAAAAATAAGTGTGAGCCAACCAAAAGTATTTTAACCAAAGAAATGTTGTCTAACAACTTATTCAAGGAAAATGATAAAACTGTCATTAAAGGAAAGAACTTGTATCAATTGATAAAAAATGGCAGCAAAAATATCACCCTGATACTTTTCTTCATTCATCTAAATCAAGGCATCATTTAACATTGCAGTACAGGGGATCATAGGGAGCAGGGATAAGTCTGATTTCCTTAATGGTCCACATGCAAAAAAGATCAAGATACAAAAAAAATTTAAAGAAATAAAAAATCACTTAAATTTATTATTTCATTATGGATTTATTTTATTTTACCTTTATATTTCTATTTTCATCCACTAGAATCTATTTAAAAAAAATTCTTTTATATCATACTCTATGCACATTTTAACATGAGTAGGCATTATAATTGTTACTATCGTCCGTCACTTTGCCTTTATCACCCTACTCAGTTGCTTTATAATGTTTGTATCACAGCTTTGAGACATGAGCAGACGTTATCAGTGATGTCACAAATTCTGAGCAGAAGTTATTAGTGACATCACAATGTGTGAGGAGAAGTTATCTGTGATTTCACAATGTATGAGGAGAAGTTATCAGTGACGTCACAATGTGTGAGGAGAAGTTATCTGTGATGTCAAAATGTCTGAGGAGAAGTTATCAGTGACATCACAATGTGTGAGGAGAAGTTATCTGTGATGTCACAATGTCTGAAGAGAAGTTATCAGTGACGTCACAATGTGTGAGGAAAAGTTATCTGTGATGTCACAATGTCTGAGAAGTTATCAGTGACGTCACAATGTGTGTGGCGATTTTTTCAAGCTTACTTTCAATAATCGTAAAAATGTCTAAAGGAGGGTGGAAAAGAACAGTTATAGAATGAAAAAAAGATTATGCTGTTTTCTACACATAGATATCGTAAAATATCAGCCTCTCGACAATGTTACACTTTTTTGCCCGTTTGCTGCTCTCTCTCGCCAAATTGGTAGAAAATCTAATAATCTATACATATCTTTAAACCCGCCATATGCGAGATGTAAAGTGTTGACAAAGATAATGCTTACCTATGTAAATAATAAGAATAGAGCATGACAGAATTAATTTCAATTTAACAGGAAAATTCAGAATTTTGATTTGATGAAGTTAAAATTCTTTTAAAAAAAACAAGTGTTTTACGATTTAAAGGGTACATACACATATGGATTTTTCAAAATGTTATTTAGTTTCATAGTGACCAATGCAACAGACACAAAAATGTCCATTTTGATCAACGACCTTGTTCAAAATAAAACTGAAGTTGCAAATTCAATTGCAATGTCAAGAATGTGTATATAATTTTTTTTCCCAAGAAATAGAACATGGTTTTGTTAACAAAGCAAAAGAAGAACATCACTTTAGAATACCAGTTTACTACTGGGCATTTGGTAGAAAATTATCCAATGTGTCTATTCAGTTTTAAAGAGTATTAAAATTATTAAGTATACAATTTCCACCACAAGAAGTTTTAGTAGATAAGATACACATCTATAAATAGAAAATCAGACTATATCCCAAAATCATGCAGGGTTTTAGCATCAGTACTACCTTTAGTATTGCTTAGGACTTTCTTGGGAACTGCTGAAACTGTATCGGAGCATTTGTCAGTAACACATTCTGTCAGAGTTTATAAAACATATACATATATATATTAGTTACAAGTTTGTAGTATTCTTTTATTGTTTAAATACTGAATTTATCTTAGCTATTCAGCCAGCATACATGCTTATATTTTAAGTTTTTTGAGTAAGATTTTCTCTGTTACATATTTTTCATCTTATTTTGGGTTTAAAATTTATTAAAAAAGCAATAAAGTACAACAAAAAAGGGAAAAGCAAAAATTTTCAAATAAAGTTAAATATCAACAGGAAATTACAATAGAAAAAGATGCTTAATTTATGACTTTCAAATTACCTGAGGAATCGTCACTACCAAAGAAGTTGCTGACATTAGAGTAATGTTGTTCTGTAGAGAGCTGGTGCTCAGGTAGCTCATCATCTGGCAGTGGTACAGAATAAAGGTAACTGTATCAAAAATAATGTAGACAGGTAAATAATAAAGGTATCAGTTAAATACATAAAAACATAAAGAAAATTGAAGGTATCACCTAATAAAAAATAGAGAAAATAGAAACAAAGAACTATCGTTACTACTTATGTTGACAAATGTGGAGCAGGATAAGCATACCCTTTGGGAGCACCTGAGATCACCCTTGTATTTTGATGGGATTCATGTTGCTCAGTTTTATGTTTTTGAATCTTCTTATTTGTCTTTTCCTCATTTTTCTTTGTTTGCCATGGTATTGCTGTTTTTCTTCAACTTAATAATCCTTTTTGTATATTCCGCCTCTTTTTTATGCCCCACCTAGGGGCATTATGTTTTTCGGTCTGTGCGTCCGTTCGTCCGTCCGTCTGTCCCGCTTCACGTTAAAGTTTTTGGTCAAGGTAGTTGTTGATGAAGTTGAAGTCCAATCAACTTGAAACTTAATACACATGTTCCCTATGATATGATCTTTCTAATTTTAATGCCAAATTAGAGTTTTGACCCCAATTTCACGGTCCACTGAACATACAAAATGATAGTGCGAGTGGGGCATCCGTGTACTATGGACACATTCTTGTTAGATATAAATCTGAGATTTATTTTTATACTCTATTTTTCCTACAAATCTTTATTGCTGAATACTGTATGGTGACTTCTAGATCAAATAATTGCTTTCCCATAATCGCACACAACACATCATTTAACTAACAAATAGGCTGGTAACTCAGAAATTTATTTCCAGAATAATTCATGGATCAATTTTCTTGAAAAATATCTGTTTTCTGTAATTAAAAACTAATCTCTAAAATGAAATTCTGATATATAAATATCCTACATGTACATGTGCATTTATTTATTTTTACTGAACAATTTTTATTATTATTTTAACCTTGCTTAATTCATTATCATGATCTATTAAATATCTGTTATCAGTCTTGTGTGTACATGTATCCCATGTTTCAATTTGGTTAGTCAATTAAGAAAATCAACTGTTTATCCCTCCAAAATGGTGGCCAATGGAAACAACTCAACTCAAATTTCATCATTCCAAATCTATCTATAACTCACTCCTTCTTGTCTTCTTTGGCAGACACAGGTTTCACTTTATCTTCTTTGGCTCCAGCTGGTTTGGTAATTTTTACTTTAGTAACTTCTGAAAATAAGTTTATCAAGTATTATGTTTTTAAAAATATTCATTTAAAAATATTGAAATCAATATTGCTCAGGTGAAACAGTTTTTTCATGTCACTTAACCTAAGATTTAACTTTATTCCATTGAAATAGGTATCAACAACTAAAACTTGTTATAATATCCATACCTGCCAACTTTTCAAAATCTCCAGGATGGATTTTAAGCATAAGAGGACCTACTACATCTCTTAAACATGTCTTCTCTTATGGTTGTGACCTGTTATATATTTCTTGCATGAAGAGATATTTCTCCTATCACACTGCATGGAGTGATACAAAAACTACATTAATTTGACTGGCTTATCAAGCATCATGAGACCATATTACGACATTTCAATTGGCTATTCTTTAAGTCATTGATAACTTTCAAAGGTTAAGACAATGTACATTTCGTCCATAGCAATGAACATATGTGATTTCTTCAATAATATACAAAACAGTCACACTTTTCACCTGGAAATCTTCTTATAGACAAATTTTATTACATTCACAGGCTTGTTCATTACTATTGAAATTAAATAACTAGAGTTGATATCAAGCGATATCCAATTCTCTCTCAATATGAAACCTATAATTATGTATTTTTTAATCGAATATTATATGACTTTGATGAAGTATATATTTCAACACCTGTCAGGGGGAAATCCCCCTAAATCTGGATAGTTGGTGATCTGAACATCTTTTCATAAAGTTAAAATGGAATTGACAAACTTCAGGGAAACTGGTCAGCACTTGTATATAATAGAAAATGAAAGGATATGGAGTAAATGTACATGGGACAAAATCGCACACAATACATAGAAAACATAGAAAATTATCAATGAACAGGGCTTTTATTCCTGTTCTTCATCTTGACAGTTGATGTAGGGTCTTCAACAATGAACGAATCATTCATACCCTAAAACAAGGTCAAGACGGCCCCTAGCATCGACTTAAGCAGTACTATTGATAAAAATAAACCACAGTTCACCTTCTTGCTCCCCACTTAGATTGAGAGATTACTGTAGATTTATTTGCATTTGTGGGATACCAATTTTCGTTGATTTTGTGAGTGAAGGTAAACCACAATTCAAATGTTCATCGAAGTACAAATTTACTTTACTTTTGTATGAAGATTTCGGCAAAACCAGGAAATCAAATATCCACAAAACTACAGTTTTCTCTAAATCCATGAAAATTGGTAACCACGAAAAAAATGAATCCACAGTATTATAAAGACTGAAGATGAATTATGATATCGTTTCACCATCAAAGCTTGTGTATTATACCTAACATTTTTTATGGGACCTTAAACACTCACCTTTTGTTATTTTTGGAGCCTCCTGGAAATCAGCAAAGTCATCGTCCTCACCCATGCTGAGATTACTGCCACTTGTTGTCATAGTAACCGTTGTCTGATTACCAGTAGCTCCCTGGTTTACTGGAGCCCCTATATTATGTGAATGCCAACTATCTGTGCTGGGACCAGCTATAGGTCCTGGCAGACTAGGAATAGGAGTTATCGGCCCCTGACTACCACTAGTTGTCATGCCAACTGTCGTCTGCCCAAATGAATTTGTTGTTGATGATGGTGGTATCTGACTGATAACTGTATTTATACCTGATGGCATCCCTGTTGGCTGGCATGGTTGAGCACTAGAAGTCTGACTGGTGGTTGGTTGATTAATTGGTGGAGTAGGAGCAGGACTGAATTGGTTGGGTTGACTAGAATGCTGAGGTGGGGCTAAGAATGGAGTGGGAGCATGGGGTATCCTGTGTAGTAACTCAATACTAAGTGGTTGCTGGTTCTGTAAAATAAAAACACTAATTCAAAACAAGTTTAAAGAAAAAGGTACATTTTGGTTGAATTAACTACTTTCAAAATTTCTCAAATATGCTAAGTAAAATGTTGAATTTATAAAACACACAACATTTCTAATTTAACATGTAATACAGCCATTACAAAAAATTACACCGTTTTACTCACACATGTAAAGAAATATTACAATGCAAAACCCCAGTCAAAATATAAATCTAATCAGTAAGAGTTTAATAGTATTATCTACCATTACTACTTGACCAAAGACTGTTTCGAAATAAGTTTTTCAAAAATAAGGATGAAAAGTAGCCTATTTCTGGCTTAAATCTGACCAACATTCAAAGGACAGTACTTTTAGTAATCCTCAGCAAATATATTTGTCCCATTAGAGTGGCTAATACACTGAGTAAAAACAGTTTAGTAACACATATCTTAAAATTGAAAAAAATTTAAATAAATATTTTTCAAAGTTGAAACAATAAAATTCAAGTTGTCGTTGAGTGAAAAATTGCCCTGTATGGTTTATTTTCTTTGTGTACAATCATTTATTTATTGTAGTGTTAATAAGTATATATTATTTTTAAATATTGTAAATATTTGTTGCTAAACTTTTTGAACTCAGTATATTTACATCTTCTTAAGTAGGTAGAATTAGGTTATGTGATATACTGGTAAGTCTTTAAAAATCATAAGTATTGTTTGTGATAACCATTTCAAAAAATATATTCAAAGTAAAACAGATTGTATTAAGTCTGTTTCATATGAGTACTTTTAAAAATCCATTGATGAAACTGATTATTACAAACACAATATTGATTTAAAGAGTTTTCACCCAAAACCTAGGTCTACCTCAAAGCCTTGTTATGGAGGATGATACTGTAGGCAGTAAATAAATAAAAAAAATATAATTATATAGTATATATTTTGGATAACAAATATCCTTCATCAGTCTGATGTAAAATGGTGTCATTAGCTATGCCAATTTTCTAAAACATCATACAATTTAAACACCAAACATGGTGTAAAGAAAATTATATATATATATATATACATTTGTATACACATAGGCAGACATATATAAATAAATTTACAGTGATTGTATGCTTCTAAAAATAGAATAGCATCCTGTTATTATACTGAAGAGTAGATGATCATTCCTGTACACTTAAAAATACTTTGTGTATTGCGTTTAGACGTCCTTGTTTAATTCCTACCAGAAGGTAACACCTCCCGAAACTAAAGCTGATTTTTATGAGCTATAGTTAGAGTAGGGGATAAGGCGTCTGCACAAAGTTAGGCGGTGTTGTCCTAGAAGTATGAAGTGAAAAGTACAGGTTCCAGCCCCAGTCGGGGAGGAAGTAAAGAATCAGATCTACTCTAACATTGTTAGGTTGATTTTCTAGGCACTTTATAAATATTCTAACGCCTGGTATTTCTTAATCATAAGAAATCCGATGGACAAGGTATAATTTACAGTTGTCACTACACATAGGCAGACATATATATATCAATTTCACTTTTTTATCTTTAAACATGATCAAATTCATATTAAATCAGTGACCCTATGAAACAAAAAGGAAGCACACTGATGATGAGAGGTCCAATGAAATCCCTAAATTTACCTATTACTTTTTTGTTATTTAAATATGTGTCCTAAGAAAAACTGCAAATTTCCTTTTGTTCCTATTATTATTATCAGTGATTAAGAGGAAGAATACATCAAAGTGGCAACCAAACACAACTAGACATCATTGAGATGGGAGCCATCTCTGTGGGCCCCGCTGACCTTGAACTTTGACCTAGGAAGTTGTACAAACATTATGACACACCCTCTGGTGTTTGTTAATATACATGTCAAGTATAAAGTATGAAATTATAACAGTTCTCTAGATATAGAACGGACACAATTTGTTACGGACAGACTGATCACTATAGGGCGACCCGCCGCTAGGCGGGGCCCTAATAAGTTTAAAAGACAGACAATAAATGGCAGAAAAGAAAAATAATGAAAAGACAAACAACTTTCAAAAAAACACAACACAGAAAACTTAAAATTATGTAACAGTTCCTGCTCCACTTGTTGCACCCCATGGTACAATTTATGCTAAAGAATACTCATACAACATGTCTTACCTGTGCTAGAAAAATAAACCCTAGGATAAGATATAACTCTTCTTTGATCAGCTGACCAGGAGTCATTTTGTTACACATCGACCAAATCTGACCAAGAACCTCCTTTGGTAAACCACTCAGGATAAGTATAGGATACAAACGATCTGTCTGTATTAAATCTTCTCTGTAAATAATAGAAATAAGAAGTTCAATTCACAAACGCAGATTGTGATAATATTATATTTTTTGAATTTATATTGGAAGTTGGGCATGAAATTTATTGGGGAACACAAAAGGCATAATTGACTGTTAATTTTTGTGATCATATCTAATCATTGATTTTAGTTTAATATAGTTTAGATACCTGTTTATAGATTATAAGTTTTTATGTGTTTACGTTATTTTGTATTTAACTATCAAAACAGACAACACTGTATATGATTTTTTGTCCAGTATGGAATTCGAACATGATTACATTATATTTTCAATATTTACATAAAAACACTTTAAACAGCTTCACCTAAATTAGAAAATATCTTAAACCTAACAGATCTTTATTACAAATGACTAAATACTATTTGTGTAAATGTTATTGATTTCATTTGTTTTCAAACTTTTATGTTTTAAGACATACATAAATTTGTATTCATTTTAAAACTTGAAAATTTTGTATACAATACCATTTAAACACATAAAAAGATGTAAATTCATCAATCTGCTGTCAATCTAATATAACTACAATGCTGTGCCAGCAAAATGACGTCTTCAGCTTTTTTGGAGTCAGCCCAAAAAAAATAAAAATACACCTGTTTCCTGCCTCCAAACTCTAATCTTGATCATAGACCCTTAAACACTGTATTGCCTCTCCAAAAAAATATTCAAGAAAAAGTTTTATTTGACTATTAATCCTATTTCACTGGATTATCATGATTATTCACACAAATTTGTAATAAGATTGACTCATATAGAATATAGAACTTGTCAAAACATTGAAAATTATAAACATATAAACAAGCATGCCCAAATTACCAAAACACTTACACAACACTAGCCTCCAGTACATGTTTATATAGTTCAGGTATCTTTGTCTCATCTTTACACCAGTGAGGCAGACCTAAATCTTTCTTATCCGGTGTTGTCTCTTCTGGTCTCATTGCTGGCCCTGACATAAAGAATTTTAAAATATACCAACCGTCAAAAACATAACATATGATTAATTTTTTTTTCTATCAGTATATTAAGTAACTTTTGATTCATTTATTTTAGTTGTTATACATATTCTTAAATGGAGAAAAAAATCTTTTATCAAGGAACCTAATTTGTGGTTTCATTATTTGCTCAAATCAGAGAATTCTGATGAGTTTTTAACTAAATGGTTTCCCCCTTCCAATGAAATGCCCAAAAACTGGTACCTGACAAATATCAATGAATCATCCACAAGTATAACAGTGATAAATCAAAAGACTACTACGAATGTACTTGTATTTCTAGAAGCAAGTTGTCAGTTTTTTACAAAGTATCATGTATTCCAGATTTTCTTTATCTTTACCTGACCAGTGACACAAATAAAGTGCCATGAGCAACTAGAGAAGCAGAAACTGCTTACCCTTTCAGAGCCCCCTCACCCCTTCCAGCCAAAAGTTTTGGTGAGGTTTTGTTTTGCTCAATCATTTAGTTTCTGTGTAGTGTTTTGTGTACAGTTAACTTATGTTACAAATGTATTCCATCAAAATATACAACAAAATTGATAAAAAGTCTTAATTGTTTCAATGTTTTCATGTAAAGGTCTTGCTTTTATAGATAACTATATGGAATGCGTTTTGCTCATTGTTGAAGACAATAGTGGCCTTAGTTGCTTACATCCATGTCATTTGGACTAAGGTGGATATTTGTCTTATAGGCAATCATACCATATCTCCTTATTTCATATTAATCCTTATAACTTCATTTATTGAATGATAACAAATGACAAACTTTAGATAACATCTTTACTACTAAAATGACGAGGCCCAATGTGTTAGCCGGCATGACATAAAAATGACGAATCAAAGAATTCAACTTTATATATAACTAATATAGGATAATGGTGTTGTTTAAAAATTACACCTTTCCAGGCCCTTTTGTTTTCCACATAATTATTATTACCAATATTTAACAAGTTCCAGGTCGAATTCGATACCAATACCAATAGTATATGTCACATGCAGTTTCCAGTTGTTACCTGTTACCTTCTGTAAATCCTTTCTCTATCAGGAGAACCTGGAATTCTTCCAGTAGTTGTTTTATATCCATGTTGCACTATAGTACACTATTTAACGAGTCTGTTTTCCTCCACCTCAATAACACTATTAATTTTGGTTAATTAGTTAAAAATCAAAAAACCAGGACAGGTTCAAATAGAAAGATTTTGAAAGCAGATAAAACTGTGCACCTTACAATCAGCATAACTTTATCAAATGACAATACGAATACTAAAAATCCAGGCCCAAAAAAAGGCATATGTACTTTAATTCAGTCATGGAACCATGTTGTCACTGGTGTGTTCTAGTAATATGTATAATGCTGGAACCAGATTTTTTAGTATAATCATATGATGTATATGACCGTACCTTCTACAACAAACATATCTCCTAAATCATCCAAATTCATCTGTTTCCACTGCTTAGCCTGCTTACTTTCATGTTGTTTTGCTGTATGACCATGATGAGAAGGATTTACCTCCTTCAGAGTTGGTTTATGGAAAGTTTTAGCCTTAACAGGAGCCGTCAGATCAGAACATTCCATCATCATCGTATTTATATCAACTGTAACATAAAAATATAACATATGCATACATGTATATATGTAAATGAACACTGTTCAATTGTCTCTACCCAAAACAACAAATTTAATTCTTTCTATCTGATTAATAGTTTAAGGTACCCAAAATGTTACCTAAACACTTTCTATTTAATAAATGCTTTATGGTATACAAAATGTTTAACAAAATTAAAATATATACTTTCTCACTGAAATACAATGTTTCCATGGTCATGATGTTAAAGCGTTTTTATACAAGTTTTATACAAAACTAACATCATAAGGGACAGACAGTAAATATCCAACTTGTACCAAATTTAAACATATTTAAACTGAATTTCAAAATGCTGCCTAATGAAAGACATCAGTATTTTTTAAGCTGAAATCAACATAAGCACACCAGTTGTTGCATGTTTTCAGTTTAATTTCAGTCGTTGAAAACTCCCAAATTATCATATTCTTCCAAAATCAACTATTTTTGAATACCTTTCTTTTCAACTTTTTGTTGCAGAACACCCCTTGGTGACTGGTTACCATTTGTTTCCTTTGTGGGCAGGTCATCAGTATTTACAACTTCTTCTTTTGGTTGCTGAACAGGTTCTGGTTGAGTGGGCAAACTTGCTGATGGTCCACCAATAAAATCACCAAAGCTGTCATTAAACTCTTCTTCAGGTGCTAAAATAGAAAAACATATTGCATAATGGAAGTTGAGAAAAACACAATGCAGGGCTCACACTACTTCAGAACCATAGGGAGAAGTGACTTCTCTTTTTGAAACTGAGAGGGAGAAGTGACGAGATTTGAAAGAGAAGTGCTCGTTCGCTCGCGGCGCTACAATGTTTGGTTTTACTATAATACAAAGGGCCATATGTATCTTATTTTTTTATATTGTTCAATTTGTACCTGGGATTACAATAAAAGTAACAGTTCAAATTCAAAGTTGTTTAATTTTATCATATCTAGTTGCACAATCATATCAGTCCTCTTGTCAGAAAAAAAACAGTTTAATATCTAGCAATAATAAAAAAGATTTTTTTATATCAAAAAAGAAAAGAAAGTTGTTATTTCAATTTAAAATGTACTCTGTTATCTTTGTGAAATTCAGTGGTTAAAATTCTCATTTAAAAGATATATAAATTTAACACAGTTAAGCTTGGACATAGTATAGTAGTCCCATAGTTGAGAAATTTTAATTAATAAATTGAAACAATTCATATACATGGAAATATATACATTAATCAAGTAGATCTAACCAAAAGTATGTTAATGCGCGTGGAATGCGTAATTCTTCCTTTTGGGGTCAATATTCCTCTGTCAGCTGTGCCATTCATTCTTCAGTAGTCATTATCGTAAGAATCCGGATTTCGGTCATAGCTGGTCCGGTTCCAATTAGTAGTTTAGTACAAATATTACAATGGCGGACGAAGAAAAATTTACAAAAAATAAACGATGTTTGACACGCTATTTGGAAAGGAATATGACGTTTTTAATGCAATACATTGATAACAAATTTACTTCAGGCAAATTTCATCACGTTCTAATGAAGTAACAAACTTATTTTGCCGAAAATTAGAATGATTTGATGTACGCTCTCTAACAAGAACCGGAAGTGATAAAAAATTGTTTTTATGAAATAACATGCAACCAACTTTAAAATCAATGCTTTAACCTCTTTTCTGAAGAAAATAAATCGTTTATGTCTTTGAATTTCTTTACTTTTTACTGAAAAATTGCTGTTTCATCGACTTGGTAAAAATTTAATATTGCCGATGACGAAAGCGACTGAAAGCGAGTATCGTAAACAACAGGGCGACTAGATTTCGCTTTTGACGGTCGAGGCAAAGCGAAGTGACGGCCAGGAAAGCGACTTTGTCGCCCCAGTCGCATGGTAGCGTGAGCCCTGAAATGTTGTTGATTTTAGGCCATGCACTAGAAAAGAAGCTGGTCTTAGATCATGAAGATTAGTGTCTTAGAATATAAGAGTCACACTTCTTTCTCGTTGTTATAAACATTACGAAGTTAAAATAAACAAGATTGTTTTTTTTCTATCCTGTCTTTGCAACAAAACTCAAATCTAAGGTTATCTTAATGATCTGCATATATGTACATACATGTTTTGTAACTGCAAATTAAAAGTCAAGTCAGTTGTTATGACAAATAAAATTATTAACTAGATTTGTTGTATTTGCTAATGTTGAAAGAAGAAAGTGCACCATTTTCCTAGAGTTCAATTGCTTTATTACTTCATTAGTCATTTTTGTCATAGCTTTTATTCTGATTCTGAAAAATGATTTATCATGCACAAAACAGTATAAAATAAAAAAGAGTCAAATACAGGCTCTTGAATTCAGTTTTTTGCAAAAATTTTGAAAACTACAATAAAGAAATAATTTCAAATACAAATTAAGGAAATACATTGTGACAGACAAATGGCATACAACATAATCTTACATCATTTTGTACTTTTACAGATGTTGTAGCTCAAAAAATTTACTAAATTAATTAATATAAATTTCCATGGCATTTTTAAATGCAGTGTACTTCTTAACAAACCTGGAATATTCTGTTTGACTTTATGTTTCTCTGTTTTACCAAACATATTTTCTATCAATTTGTTAGCATCAACAGACTGTGTATGGAACTGCTTCAACTTCTGTTTTTGTTCTAAATAAAACTTTTCCTTCTCCATTTTCTTCATACTTTCTGGTGACATGGGTTGTCTTGCTGGAGGATTACTAAAAAAAACAGTTGTTTAAAGAAAATATAGAGTTGCACATGATGTCTTCAAAAAAAGGCAAAGTTGTCAATGGGAATGTTTAAATGTTAATTCCTGTCCTTATTGGTCATTATGAAGTTTCACCATATTTATGTTTTTCCAATCTTTGAATTAAAAAAAAATGATTTTGAATCCTTATTAAAAAAGTAGTACATTTAAAGTTTTGTAGTAAAACACATATATACATGTAGATACTGCAAGCACTATTCAATAACACTAGCAGGGCATTTTTTTATAATAAGTTAATGGCTATAAATAAGATTAGAAAGTGCATTTATAACAAGAAGTTCCACACTTTGTCCAACTAAGCATACCCCACTCCAAATCTAAAGTGTCAGAAAACAGGAAGTAAGTGTCAGATCATTCACTGTAAATTTGCCTGTCCTAAGTCAGTATCCTCTAGCCTTTGTAAGTCTTGTGTGTTTTTTAATTTTGGTTTATTTATACATGTATGTTTCTGAGTTTAGTGTGGCATCCATTTTGCTGAACTCAATGAACTGGTATACATTATTGGTTAGAGGCAAGCTGAAGCCCGCCTCAGGGTGCAGGATTCTCGTGCTGCGTTGAAGACCCATTGGTGGCCTTGGGCTGTTTTCTGCTCTTTGGTCAGGTTGTTGTCTCTTTGACATTTTCCCTGTTTCCATTCTCAATTCTAACCTACGGTAATATGAAGTCATTCTCAATTCTAACCTAATATGAAGTTATTCTGCTCAAAAATAATGGAGAATTGTGTGATGATAATTTAAAGTTCATTCAAAATATCAAAATATCAAAGAATCAGCAAATAGGAAGTTTGTGTCTGACAGATCCAAAAAGAACGCACACATTTAAACTCATCACAGTTAGCCTTCTGGTTAAATGTGAAGTCATTCTTTTCAGCAGGACTGGAGAAATGTGTAACAAATTTATTTTTATTAATGGACAAAAGAACAAGGTGATTGCCCCACTCCTATAGGGGGAATTCAATTATCAAAAGATGAATATTTTCTTTCAAAAATTGATGATAATATTAAAAATAACTTAAAAGTCTGTATATAATTCTGCACTGTAACCTCTCTTTCCTTCAAAAAATTACTTACTTTGCCCTGTATTGCTGCCCTATAGCTGTTGGTCTGTAAGGTGGTGGGGCCATACCCGGTCCTCTCATCCCCATCTGAAAATTCAAATTTATGATCAAATGAAGTTTGAGCTAGATTCCTCTGTGGTTAGGCACTATTTTTAATTTTTTTTTCTTATGTTATATTCCAATTACCTTTTCTATCATGTCTATATATATATATATATATTCAAGGTTGCACTTTGTAAATACAGCTGTTTCTCAAACCATGCCTCTTTTGGGGAGATATTTAATATTCATAGGTATGTTAATTTGTTAACGTACTGGTTCCAATTGATGATCTCTGTGTTTCATCTCATAGAGACATCACTTGGGAATGTAACCAGTATAGAAAAACATGGTAGCGGCTAAATTTTAATTCTTAGGAGGTCCAAAAATGGAGGTAAGGGTAGTATAGAATTTTAGTATAAGTTTAAACTCTTAGAAGTTCAGGGCATATAAATGTTGAAAATATGCCGCACAGCCCTATATTTTGACCTTTGAATAAAATAGTAGTGCATATAAACTTTTCGTTCTGGGATATCTTTTTTTCACGAAACTTCATAGTAAAAGTGTCACAATTTTAGCCGCAAAGGGAGTTCCTATGGGAAATTGCATTGTCTGTATTTACAGAATTGCAACCTATATAGGGTTAAAAAATAGAACATACAGAATTTCACAAAATCTGGTTTATCTCAGAGATTTTAAAGAATTTAACTCAAATATGAAGTTTTATAAATATTTCATGAAGATTGAGAAAATCCTGGGCCTTAACTATGATGACTCAGCATAAATTCACAGTTTACAGTATGCTTGGTTTACTTAAAGCCCTGATTTCAAAATAAATTCATAATATATGCTTATTTGTAATTTAAATTGTTTAGAAGTGCTTATATTTACTCTTCGCAGTAATTGCAACTCATTGATCCTTCCTAAATATTTTTAGTGGGGTGTTTTTTTCCTGTCGATAACCCAAAAGTAAGCCTAAATGTGCTTTTTTGTGACCGCGGCATAAAAAAGTACAAGCTAGAATTACAAAAAGACCTCAATAAAACTTACAATAGTGTGTTCTATCCTAAATATGTAGTAAATATTCCTCATTGCTAGAAACAGGGGAAAAAATTTGGAATTATGAGGCCCCAGGGGCAAAAAACAGAGAAAAATGCCTACCCCTGAGTCATAAAACAGATAATTTAACTTGAAAATGCTATGATTTTTTTATTTTAAAGGTCTTTTGTAAAGTAAACAATAACTGTGCTAGAAAGTTATGCAAAAATCAGATGTGAGCAGTCATTTCAATCAAACTTTTAGTGAATTTATGCACCAGACTGATATCTTCATAAATACAACTTTTGCAAATATGGCTTTGTTTCAACACTTCTAGTTCATATATTAACTAACTTATGTTAGATATGTAGGACTCTAAAGTGCGATGGGGACGCTAAAGTGCGATGGTCACGCTAAAGTGCGATGGTCTGCGCTAAAGTGCGATGCCTCCATACGCTAAAAGTCTGATGGTCCGCGAAAGTATAGACGTAAGAAACGTAGTTGGATTATGACGTTAACAGTCGTTTATACAAACCAAAAATGAATATGCCGGAAGATAAATTAAGAATATTTGATTAACAACTTTTGAATCAAATGTCCATGACTTAATTTCAGACCTAATCGTGCTTTGTCGGCTGAAGCAAATGTGTTTTTTTGGGGTGCTGGAAGAAGGACTTGTGTCCTGCAGTCGACCATTTTACTATAAAGATACAAAATAGTATACGCATAGGTATCCTGTATCCTGCTTCTATTGGAAGCGAACGGATACATTTAAATCATATGATTTGTTTACGTTGCAGTTTACTTTGCTGTCCCCATTAAAATATTGTCAGTCGATTTTATTGAAAAGTAACGTCGGTAAAATAAAGGTACATGTTTTTAAGCGTAAATTATAAATTGTCGGTTAAAACATAGCTTGTTCAGTGTAGGAAAATATGTCATGTATTTGTGAAAAAGGAGAAATCTCGGCGAATATCGCATTTATCACGCATTTAAGCTTGAAGCCTTGTATCAATAAATGCTAACTTACTTATTCCGACAATGAACGCATTTTGTATTTGTAATTTACAATGACGACTGTTAAGTTATTGATAGACTTTGTGAGCGGCAAGCTACACCAATTATCCAAATATTTAATACGAAAGAAATTGTTAAAAAATCATTTAACAAGAAATACAGTATTTTGTGACACATAAATTACCTTTTTAGCAATGATTACGTGGTCGGTCTTCTAAATTTAGAAACAATCACTTTAGCCTACCGGTCAATCATAAAGCCTATTACATATGTTATTACCTTAGCATACTAGCTTTTGCAAAAAGACTTGTTTTTAACATCCATGCACTTTACTGAATGTTTTAAGCCCTCGAAACCTTACCCTATTGTTCCATCGCACTTTAGCGTGCTATACCATCGTACTTTAGCAAACTAGCAATCATCGCACTTTAGCGTGAGACACCATCGTACTTTAGCGTAGACCATCGCACTTTAGCGTGACCATCGCACTTTAGAGTACCATCACACTTTAGAGTCCTACAGATATATGGTTAGGGATGATACTGTTGTGACAAGAATTCTAAACTGACCATTTGAGGCAGAAATTGTGAACTTTCATTGACAAATAGGCATACAGTAAGATGTGGACTGGAGACACAGGCAGGATTGGATACTTTGTACAATCTTGAATGTTGGAATGCTTAACTACTAAACAATACATTTATAGTATTCTAAAATGCTTTCAATTTGTTATCAGAATAGTTTCACACAGGTTTTAGACAGTTCATGTCAGAAAACATGCACATAGGGTAAGCTGGCAATAATTAGAGTCTTGTTTTCAAAATCTTTAAAAAATTGAAACAGGGGTAGGGGTATAAAATGTACTGTAAAAGGAAACTTAGAGTATATGCAGTGATTTCTTTAAGGCTATAATTCTGATAAATAAGTATTGTTGTGAGAAAAAGAGTTTTTAGAGAGTTTTCTTTTTGAATAAATGTTTGTATAGGTTGCACTTTGTAAATACAGCTGTTTCTCAAACCATGCCTCTTTTGGGGAGATATTTAATATTCATAGGTATATTAATTTGTTAACGTACTGGTTCCAATTGATGATCTCTGTGTTTCATCTCATAGAGACATCACTTGGAAATGTAACCAGTATAGAAAAACATGGTAGCGGCTAAATTTTAATTCTTAGGAGGTCCAAAAATGGAGGTAAGGGTAGTATAGAATTTTAGTATAAGTTTAAACTCTTAGAAGTTCAGGGCATATAAATGTTGAAAATATGCCGCACAGCCCTATATTTTGACCTTTGAATAAAATAGTAGTGCATATAAACTTTCAGTTCTGGGATATCATTTTTCACGAAACTTCATAGTAAAAGTGTCACAGTTTTAGCCGCAAAGGGAGTTCCTATGGGAAATTGCATTGTCTGTATTTACAGAATTGCAACCTCAAACATGTCAAACTAGCATTCTTCATCATTTTCTGGTTTTAGATGTGCGTTTTTATACGATGGTGGTAAAGGGTTCACTACAAACCAGTAAAAGTCTGAAATGGCCTATATCTGTACTCGACTGTACTGATTTTTACTCGACCAGTCTGAATTGGTCTGAATTTTACTGGACATTACTCGACCCCAGTCTTAACCATACTCGACTGTACTGATTTGTACTTGACCCTTATATTTGCCATTGAAAATAGTCTGAACTATTACTCGACCAGTCTGAAACAGTCTTAACCCATTCTCGACCTGTACTCGACCTATTTTTTCAGTCTAAACCATACTCGACCAAAGGTCTGAACAGTACTCGACCAGTCTAAACCATACTTGACCAAATAACCTTTACTTTTTTTTAATTTTAACTGTTAAAATAAATTTCTTTTTAACTGACATGACAACAGCCACAATAAAATAAAGATATATATATACATAAACAGATTTTTTCATCCTTACATGATTCTCAGATTTATCAAATAGAGATAGTTAAATCAAATTATCTTATATAATAATTTAATTATATTAATTTTAAAGGTTTAGAGTTTTGTTAAAAAAAAAAGATTTTTTTTACCTTAAAACCACACCTATACTGAGGGTAATAAAACCTTATTAAGGTGCTTCTTGTTTGGCATGTTTTTTTTTTTAAAACTTAATTTTTCTAAATTCCTAAATAAAAACTACATAGGTTTCATGGTTACATACAATAGTTATACAATTATCTTTTTAATGAGGCAACAACAGCCAACAAAATCACAATTGTTAAACCTTATATTGGAAATAAATATTTTATTATAATTTGGGATATATTATATATAATATATATATCAAAAAGGGATAAAAAATTAAAGAAATTAATAAAATTGTTCTTCTGATTAGTGGTGAAGTATTAAGTAATACCTCCTGCTTGGGGCAAACTCATTAAAAAGATCACACCTGGTCAGAGAGTATTAAATTCTTAATAACATTCATTCAAAATTGCAACATCCTGTTTAACTTAAATCACAAGGCCTTTTGAATTCACTAGATAAGTAATACACGAGTTTAAGAAAAATAGGGCTTTCTTTTTACCTGTAAAACACACATGTACTGAGGTAATTAAACCTTATTAAAGTGCTTCTTTATGCCATGTCTTTAATTTTGACAAAAGTTATTTAAATTTAATTGAAATAAATTTTTTCTGCAACTTTGGAACACATTTCCTTTTTTAAAAGGTTATCAAGGATTACTATGGAAGTTCTATTATCATGATATTAAATTCTTGGTTTTACAAAACAAGGGTGTCATTTTTTAAATTTATTAAGTTGCTTTATATACTATTTTATATATATTTTAATAAAAAAAAAGTTCACTGCATTATTAACTAAACTCAACTGACACCATAAATCTATACATGTACTAGGCTTAAGTTAATGGTTAATACTGTCCAGTAACCATAAAATATATCTGAAACATTCAAAAAATTTTGAATAACATTGAAAATATAAGTCACAATTCAGTTTTGAGATTATTTGATCAGCTTGTTTTATCTTTATTTTAAAGGTGATACATATATGTAAGTGTTGATGAATATGGTGTTGAAGTTATATTATGTTTATTGTGAAATTTTGGTTTCAATGCTATATTGAATACATTTGTAATTTCAAATTGTTGTTGAAATTTCTAGCCAGGGGAAATAGCTGTTGTTAAAAACAGTTCCTAAATTGATGAAAAACAATAGATAGATACAAAAAATAGGTCTAGTTTGGTTAAGACTAAATTGGTCGAATATGGTTCAGACTAGGTCGAGTATGATTCAGACTAGGTCGAGAATGGTTCAGACTAGGTCGAGTATGGTTCAGACTAGGTCAAGTATGGTTCAGACTAGGTCGAGCATGGTTCAGACACGTATAAAATGGTTAAGTACTAGTCGAGTAAAGGTCGAGTAGAAGTTCAGACTGTTAAGTATGGTTCAGACTACAGTCGAGTATTATTAAGTAAATTTCAGACCAATTCAGACTGGTCGAGTAAAAATCAGTACAGTCGAGTACAGATATAGGCCATTTCAGACTTTTACTGGTTTGTAGTGGTTATTTTCGTGCAACATGTTTTGCCATTTTTATTTCACGTGCAGCCGTGAAAAAGGGTTGATATTCACCGTGTTTCGGGAAATCGGTGAAAAGATCAATGTGCAAGAAATTTTTAATTGTTCGTTCATCGTGAAATGGTAATTTTATTTCGCGTTCTTCCGTGCAGATACCCCCCTTTACGCCCCTCTTATACCAGTGATGATCAATATCATCAGATCAGATAATAAAACTGCAAGATAGTTTTTTAACACTAACATTTTTAACAAACAATGTGCATCAAATCAATTAATCTAGCATTAAATTTTTGTTAAAATATTTAATTTGATGAAGAAAGTTTATTGAGATTGCTTTAATTTCATCACCTGTCCAGGAAACATCATGTTTGGAGGTCTTTGAACATGTTGCATCTGACCATGTGACTGCATCTGGCCATGTGACTGCATCATGTGACCTGTATTCTGCATCATGGGATATCTAACCATTCCTTGCTGAACATATTGTTGTGGAAACTGTTGCATTCCAAAGTTACCTGAAGGAAAACAACAATCATGTGTATTGGTATTTAAAAAGTAAAATTGTTTTATTTTGTGGATAGCACAAAATCCCACCTAAATAGATGTATTAAAAAAATGTTATTCTGCAATTAAAAATTTGATTAAAAATGTATTTTGTTCTTAAGATTAAACAAAGCTATATTAAACTTTTTTGTACTATGTATTCAATTTAATATCATTAATATTGCAATATGAACAATTAGTTAAAAGAACAGTTATAGGTTATGATAGATCTATCTGTAATCAGTTTCCAATATTTCAATAGTACATGTATTTCTAAATGCAGTGTCACTTTGCTCTTGAGGTCAAGATTTTTATTTTCATTAGCTACAAAAATAAGAAACTATTCTGTGTATAAAGGTAGGTAAAATACATTTATTTTTCAAAGTGTTTTATTCAAATTTAATGTAAAAACTACGAACATACATTTTTTTTAAATCAGTTTTGTGAGGATTCTTACAATGCATGCAATGTGTTTCACATACCTTCTCGAAATCAACAATATATAACTTTGTAAAATGGCAGATTGTTGATAGTCTCTGTTTAATTTATTAACACCTTTTTTCAGAATCTTGGTGACATACAAATGTAGTGCTTGACCATGTTTACCTATTGTGTAGACACCAGTCTTTTTCTGAAGAATCCTTGTTTGTGAACCTGTAGAGGTTTGGTTTGTTATGTGTTGTTGGATTGCTGTCTCATTGACCTTTACTTAAAAAAATTTATTCATACTTACAAGTAAAAGCATTCCAGACATGTCTGAGTAAATATACAACAGTCAGGGGAATTACTTAAAGGAGTAATTTCTTCAATTACTTATTCAAGTAACATTTTGTCCAGAAATGTTACAAGTAAGAGTTGTCTTTCTTTAACAGTCAGGGATATAACTCTATAGGGTTATTACAGAAAATAACTTGCATGTGTTATTACAGATACTTTTATGAGTTGTCTACTCTTTAATCTTTAAATTTACTAAATCTGTAATAACATATGTTTGTTATTTGTAAAATAAATCATAAATATTTTTATTTTGAGTGGGCTCTAGGGAACTCTTGAAACTTTGCACAGAAACTAAATGCATAGCCTTGATAACTAACTATTAATTTAGATTAATACATTTTTCATTAACCATGGTAAATCAATGAGACAAGGCTTTTAAGTGATTAACTAAGCTGTAATAACAAGGCTTAGTTATTAAAGGCATGTAACTTATTAAATGAGACACTTGGGAATTACTGGGAAGCTTGCGCAGAACCTCATTACATGCTCTGATCATTACTTCTTACAATAAATTAAAATACATTGTAATTGAGCATGATCTATGTCTGAGCAAATGCTTTGAAGTGATGTAGAGAAGCTATAATAACACCCTTTAGTTATTACAGGCATATTTGTTCTGTAATAACATAGGTGTGATATGCATGATTGGCAAACTATGAACTGTTATATCTTTCTATAGTTAAGTATACGTAAAGACAATAGCAATATCAATAGAACTTGTATACATTTTAACAAAACTAATGATGTATATTGTCCCTTTGAAACATGTAACATACATATGTTATCACAGTTCTTTGATTTTTTTGTCCACAATAACAAGCATATGTTTTTTTTCTCTAATAACCCTATAGAGTTATATCCTTGACTGTTTAATAACTGCCAATTTAAGTAGTACAAATAAATCACTAAACTTAGTGATTCGATCTTACTGTAGCTTTAAATTTATAATCTGATGATATTACTGATCCTGGGACTAATTATGATGCTAAAATTATCAGGTGCAACATGTGTGTTCAGAGGAGGATTTAGAGGGTTTTCCAGGGGGCCCGGGACCCCCTCTTTTGTGGGAAAAATTTGGTCAATTATATAGGGAATCACTGAAGCGTGACTGGAGCGGGCCCCCTCTTAGGCAGTCAGTGGACCCCCCCCCCCCCCCCTTATGAAAATTTCTAGATCTGCCACTGGTGTTTATAGGATGACCAGTCATGTCACATGATGACCCTGTACTAAATGTGGGATAATAACATGAAAATCACTTGTTTAAGTATCATACCTCTATTTTCTTCCAAAATATTACTTCTTTTAGTATTATTTTTTTAATTAGCCCCCACTCTTTTCAACAACTATGAACACTCAAATTTTGGTTGCGACCATCAAAATTTTATTACATAATCTGTAAGCTGAAACCTAATTTTACAGGAAAAATACGTCCACTGCTGGGGAAAATCTGTTAATTTAAAAAAAAGTATAAGATCATTATGTATATAGCATTTTTGTCAACTAATTTAAAATTTACTGATAAATGATTGCTTCAAAGGCATAAATAAACCTGCTACTTTAAAGAAGCAAATAGGTCCTTTTTTTCTATTTTAACTAATAATTCGAAATATTCTAAACCTGCATGTTTAAAATTTTGATAAAACTACAAAATCACAGAATTTCTAATTTGCTACTTGAATGAGCTCGAGTGATTTAAAAATCGCTTATTTCAGTAGTTCCCCTGACTGAACAAATGTAGCACACTTACCTGTAGGATGATTCATTGGCATTCTTGTATTCCTGAAAATTAAACACATACATTTAAAATGGTAAAATTTTTCATATGAAAAATTTGATGACATAAATGTACATGCATTGGATTTATAAGCAGCAGTATTTTGACTATATGTTGTCAATTTTACATTGAATTTCTGTTGAAAATAAAGATCTATGGAAATTTAAATTAGATTACAATGCCTTTCCTACTATATAACATTTTTTTCATCTATGTAGCTTTTTTTTGTTGTTTTTGCAATAAAATCATGTACATGTAATGAAGTTGAACATTTTATGTAATGTTAAAACATTTTGAAGAATTCCTGAACACCAACAACGACAAAGGGAAAATGAAATTAGGAGAAAAAAAACATTAGTTCTACTACTAAATGATATATATACATGTACATGTAGTACTTGCATTCAATCAAGATTAATACATATTTTTTTAAGGAAGGCAACTTTTTTATGTTTGGATTTGAATGTTTTTACCTCACATATCAAAACTATAACATGCATAATACAAAACTACATACAGAACAACTCAATAACTGCATGAACTGAATAAATACCTCTGATAAAAAACATCAACTTACGGCAGAAGGTTATTTACAATATTGATTTATAGCTTGACATACAAAAATGTACATGTATTATATAGTCAATTAGTCAATGGAAATCATAATGTGTTTAGGAAACGTTTTTAATATAAAATAAGTAAAGAATAATTATAAGATAAACAAAAGACAAGAAAGATGCATGTTGTATGTTCACGCAATGTGTTCACTGTTCAGACATGTCAGAGTTGTTGAAACCTCTTTTTAGTTTCCATATATCCTTTTGATTTTTGTGGTCATCAATATGCTTATCATTAGATACAGTCAGAACTAACAGGTCTACTCTACTAAATATTGACAAATCTTAGAGGAACAGATTTCATCATTTTTAATATGTTTAACATGCTGAACAAATCTAAACTCCAAAATTTAAATGTTTATCCATGAACATGCATGACATTTACAAACCTAGAGTCAATACAAAATCTGTAAATTCAGAGATATGTCATATGGCTTGCTGTTCGGTGTGAGCCAAGGCTCCATGTTGAAGGCCGTACTTTGACCTATAATGGTTTATACTTTTACAAATTGTGACTTGGATGGAGAGTTGTCTCATTTGCACTCATACCACATCTTCTTATATCTATCTACTGTCTGCAGAATATTAGTAAAAAAAAACAATCTGATGGACAGCAACATTGCAACCATTCAAAGTTGCTGGACCATGATCTAGGGAGCAGGGCTTTGAAATACAATGTAGTTGTCACACTATTATGTCCTGATACTAATGCAACTTTATAGAAAACATCAGTGATCTATCACAAGTAGTTCCTATCAAACTATCTTAAGCAGAAAACAACATTGAAAATTGCTTATTAATTGAAAAGTCACAGGACCTTGAACTACATGTGTAGGTGATAGGGCCTTGAAGTAGCCATCAAACTGATATGTACGTCATGTACTGATAGTAATATAATGCAACCTTATCAGCCAAGGGTATCACTTAAATAAGTTATTCAGAGAAAATAACATCCATGTGCATGATGTGTTATTACAGATGCTTTCATGAGTTGTCTACTGTGTATTCATAAAATGTTCTTAATCTATAGTAACATATGTTTGCAATTGTTATCTGTTAAAACAAATCTTAAATATTTGACTTTTTATTGGGAACTTGGGAATTCTTGAAACTTTGCGCAGAAACTTAATACATAGACTCATGAGACTGGATAACTCATTTTCCAATTAAATTAAATCATATTTGATCAACCGTGGTAAATCAATGAGACAAGGCTTTTAATTGATAAACTTAGCTGTATTAATTAAAAAGCTTAGTTTTTACAGGCAAATAATTCAGAATGGGACACTTGTGAATTACTTGGAAGCTTGCACATTACATGCATGTACCTCATTTTATGCTCTGATTATTATTTATTCCAATAAATTAAAATACATTGTGATTAAGCATGATAGATGTCTGAGCAAAGGCTTTGAGGTGATATAGAGTAGCTGTAATAACACCCTTTAGTTAAACAGGTATATTTTTTTCTGTAATAACACAGATGTTATATGTATGATTGGCAAACTATATTAGTGTTCATATAGACAATAATAATATCAATAGAACTTGTATACATTTTAATAAAACAAAGGATGCATGCTGCCATTTTGAAACATGTAACATACATATGTTATCCCAGTTTTGGGATTTTTTTAGTCAACAATAACAAATGTATGTTATTTTTCTCTAATAACTTATTTAAGTTATACCCTTGACTGTTTATAGAAAATATCATTGATCAATCAAGTAGTTCCTATCAAACTGACTTAAGTATGTACTTAGGTGAGGTTTAGGAATTTTTGTCAGATGTTCAGACTCCTTGGTTTTTTTCCTACGATACAGGGTAAAATATTTTGCCCCATAACACCCAGTTTTCTTTTTATATAAGATTTCAATAGCTCATAAAAGGTCATTTACCAAAATTTAAGCAGATTCTAGATTTCTTTTCTTTCGATTTGAGACCCAAATTACACCAATGCAAATATAAGGTAAAAGTCCGAGTCAGCCTTTTCCTGCCATTTTAAAAAAATCAAATATCTCGAAAAGGAGCTCCATAACCTATCAATATTTTTAGCTTATTTTGTTCCTTAACTAATGTTCTTCTGACTTATAGTATCAACTCTAAATTCAATTTTTTTTTAATTTCACCTAGTCAGTACATACATCTTTAAGTAGAAAACTTAACAATTGTTGATGCATCCTCCTCTGCCATTGCCAGTCAAGCACTTGTAACAGTAACCTATGTAATTACATGTCACTACATAATACCTTCAGCAATGAGCATAACACCCATATCATATAGTAAGATAATATGAGGTAGGTTTGACCTCATGATCTCCTGAACATGCTGAATGTTATTGTTATTGTTTTAATTTAACAGCTTAATTAAATCAGGCCACTGGTTTTCTCTTTGAATTCTTACACATTTAGTATAAAAAAAATTCCTGCAGAATGGAAAAATTGTAAAAAATGTGTCTTGCATTTGGTCAGGTAAATGGCAACAAGGCAATACTTGTCTGAAGAACCAAATTTGTCCGACATGTCAGGCATATAAATTTGGGACCTCTAGTTACAAATGTAACATATCGGTTAAGTGTAAGACAATAATGAATATTCAAGAAAAACTGACCGAAAGTAAACATCAGTATGTTGATTTTTTTTCTTGGGTACAAGTCAAATTGGCACCTATAGGAAAAGTCAAATCAGTACCGGGTCAATAATATTTTTCATTTTTTTCTGCTTTATAATTATTTAAACAAAAATTGGGGGTTGGATCTTACTTGGTTCAGTTCATGTTAAAACTCTTCACATGTTATGAAGCGATTTGAATACATAAGTTAACTGTTTGAAGTTGTTAATTTAATCACTCTATAGAACAATGTAGAAGGATAATCACTCTATACAGGTATTATCACCATATAGGGTGTTTGTTCCCAATCTGTTCTGAGTGTTCAACATATAATTCACATGGGTGCAGAAATAACTACATCGGGTGCCGATTTAACCAGGTGCCGAAGTAACTAGAAATTAGTAGAATTCTTTTTCTTTAACCTAACAAGAAATAGACAGGTCAGGAATAACCACCAATTGGTGGATTATACCTCAATTGATGTATAATCCACCAATTGACATATAATGGTATAGACCAATTGACGTATAATTCTTTGTTTTTCAAAGCAAATTATTCAACCAAAATGGAGCATTATTTTCGTAAAACCATATTATTGTATGAAAACATGTCAAACATTACTAGTTTAGTATAGTGACATAACCTATTGCATTTAATCAATAAATGTATTTGCAGTTTCTTCTATTGTTATCTTGTCAATTATTGATTGGCAAATTTACCACTAATCACCGATCAATGGACATCAATACTGTCTGCAGTCATGTGATTATGAGTACAACTCCACAGGTGAATGGAGCTCTTTGTTAATACTTGACTTTCATTATTAAAAGTCAATCATGTTGTCAATAATGGTCAATAGTACAGATGTTTCAACAAAAGAATTGTTGTACACATGCATTCTCAAGAGATGCAGCAGGCTTTGACAAAACTGAAACTTTCGGAGGACTCAATAATGGTCATAAAATAGGTTGTAAGTTGCAAAATGATGCTCCTATCTCACACTGGCATTTTAAAACAAAAAACTTGCATTATACGTCAATTGGTCTATACCAATATATGTCAATTGGTGGATTATACGTCAATTGAGGTATAATCCATCAATTGGTGGTTATTCCTGGCCTGATAGAGAAGCACTTGTTCTGTAGACCAGTACAACTGCTATTTGAATATTTCATAAGTTAACATTTTTTAGGGGGAAAAAATATACCTATTATCACCCATAATCTATCATTTATGATTGTATCAGGCTATAATCAGCTACATTTGTACATGCAAATGACGTTAGATGTTGACAGAAGTTTCGATTATTTTTGTTTCCTGTAAACATTATTGTGACCAAGAATTTTTAGTCTTCGATCAGTTTGTTACTTAAAGGGATTATTTGAAAGTGACCAAATCCCCACAAAACAATTTTCAACAACAACGCTTCACCATGTATTAATGAAACGGCCAAGCTTATCTGATTATATTTTCGCTTAGTCTCATTGTACAGCGTTGTGAGAGGAACCTTAATCATATACTTAATTAATTCTAATGATACCGTTATTAATTTATTTCTGTTGATTAGCACGTGATTGTAGTCGTTTGCTATCGCACCAGTTTAAGTTTGGGATTTGGTTGCATCGTTTTTAGTTTCAATGCGAAACAATCTGGTTATATCTAACAATATTTGTAAATGGAAGAGACAAGTCGGATAATATTTGATTCCGGTCGTACATGCAATCATGACTTCCACATGGAACGAAATTACAGTTGCTATCAAAGAAAATAGACATGAACTGAAATTGCAAGGGCCTACCATATCAAGTTATCTTGAGGCAAATGGTGTAGACTCTAGGCTGTACCAATTAACAAACCTAAACTACCTTGATTTTTCAAATACACGCCTAACTGAACTCTCTGATGACATAGGATCCCTTGTCAATTTGACCAATTTAGTTTTAGACCACAACAAGCTAACTAGACTTCCTGAAACCATTTCAAAATTGAAGAAATTGAAATGTTTCGATGTTTCAAATAACCAGTTGGAATCAATTCCGGAGAGTATCTCTGGGTTAACTGAGCTTCATACCTTGAATTGCAGCTTGAATAGAATTGGCACATTTCCATCGATTGAAAAGATGACATCGGTCCATGTGCTTATCATTTCAAACAATAATTTAACATCACTACCTGAGGGAATATATAGTGAAGAGTTGTCTCATCTTAGTCAAATACAGGCCAGCGACAACCAGATTGAAGAAATTCAGTCCGAAATTTCAGACTTGCCTCACCTGAACTTGTTGGACTTGTCTAACAATAAGCTATCCACCGTACCTGCTGAACTAAGTGCCTGTCCAAAGTTGAAAGAATTGAATTTGAAAGGAAATAAATTTAAAGATAGGCGATTTGGCAAATTGGTTGAACAGTGTCCGACAAAATCTGTTTTAGATTATCTAGCAAATGTTTTGAAGAAAGAGCAGGAAGCATCTGGCAAAAAAGATAAAAAACAAAAAGACAAAAAGAAGAGAGGGAAGAAAGCTAATAAAGATGTAGAAGAGGTTGTTAAAGATATGATAAATATCTTGCATTTCCAAGAAGATGAAGGTTACACTGTACAAGTGACGCCAGCAGTCCTGTCAGTCCGTCAATATGTATTATGTTGTATAGTAAGGCAGCTGTACCTCAAGAAGTCTAATATGATCTACAAACATTTCATAACACTTCAGGTATATTTATTGCCTCAATAAGGAAAAGAACTAGAAAATATTAGTTTGTTAAAAAAGACTTAAATATTCAATTATCTCTGTTTTGGGTTTAAAAAAAGACTTAGCAACGTATATTTTAATAACATAACTTGTATATATATATTAACATGTATGTGTATAAAAAATTTAAAGAAAAGATACATATTTAGAAAACACAACATCTAGTGTCTAGTATGATAAACATGCCTGACAGTCAAATGTAATTTTTAATCATTTATATACATACACTGTAAAGGTAATTCTATACATGCTATAAGAAAATATAAGTATTACTCACAATTTTTGTTTTTAAATTACAATAGATTTGTTTGTTTCCATTGATTGTCTACCTTCTAGACTTCTACATGTTCAAAATTTTGAAGGAACATTACTTGCATCATTTAAATTTAACATACAAAACTGTTGAAAATAAACATGATAAGGTTAAGTTTTATATTTAACATTTTTACAAAATCTGAAATTAAATCTGATTAGCTGGGAACATGGGGAAAGAGTGGACTTTCCACATTGGACAGGAAGAAATTACAAAATTTATGTGAAGTGTAGTGACCATACAAACTCCAAGTACCATACTCTCAAGGTGACTCAGTTTAAAATCACTCTTTCACTGAGACTGAATGCTGGTGATTTTGATCCGGAGGGCTAATTCTGAAATATCTCTTTCTATCATGTCTTTATCATGTTTATTCTACACATATATCATGTATATAACAGGGTCCTAATTCAAGGTGGTTTTGACCTCCAATGATATGTTATCATCCTGTTTCAAAGTGAACTACTCAATAAGAGTGATTTTTCGATGAATCACCTTAGATGAACTGCATACAGCAAAAACTGCACAAATACAGTCAAAAAACTGCACAAATACAGTCAAAAAACTGCACAAATACAGCCAAAAAACTGCACAAATACAGTCAAAAAACTGCACAAATACAGCCAAAAAACTGCACAAATACAGTCAAAAAACTGCACAAATACAGTCAAAAAACTGCACAAATACAGTCAAAAAACTGTGAAATAGATTAAAAAAATTAAATACAGAATAAAAACATCATGAATACACACCTATATCAAAGGACACAAAAGTATTGATATTACAAAAATTTCCAATTTTCACCAAGTTCAGAAATAATCTGTTACATGTAAAATAAAATAAGATAAAATGATAAACATTAAATCATATGATAAATTGTGTTTTACATTTTTTATACAGACAAAACTGCATGATGAGATATGTCAGAAGAGACAAGCAGCTACCATTGCTACACACGATTTGAAGTCCATCAAGAAACCAGTAGTTTATGATGCCAAATTTCCACAAGCTCTAATGGTAAAAAATAGAGATTTTAAGTACACCAATGAAATGTTTATTATTTAAAATGGTAGCTTCATTTTTTTAGAACCATGCACGTTTAAGCAAGATGAAAACAAACAATGCTTGATTGGTGATTTATATCTGGAGATCCTCAGATCAATAAAATGTTAATTACTATTTCTTTCCATTATTTTTTTTGAGGGGGTATGAATAGTACCATTATTATTGTAATCAAATAAAAACAAATCGCAAAGTTCTTGAAAAGTGATAGTCCGAAGGTCCTGGCCACCAAATTTTGCAAAGAACCGACACAATTTTGATATTTGGTAATAAAAGTTTTTGTGAGGACCAGCAGATTTTCTTCAAGGACCACCAAGGAAAAAAATGATTTCGAGAAATCTGAAATCTTTTTTTAACATGTTTAATGATCATTGTAATTTCTTTATATGTAATATTTATTAATGTATGATTCATCACAATTAATTTGCTCCTTGTGTGCACTATGATGAGCAAAATAAAGTATCTGTATAAAAAAAATCCTGCATTCTTTTATTTGAAGCTAATTTTTTACACAAAATGATCATGAAAATGCTTAAAGATTATACGACATATATATCATCCAAAAACAACGTCACATGATCACAATTACGGTAGTATACTGTTATTCAGGGATTTTTCTTTTAAAGATCACTCCTTTATTTAAACAAAAAGAAGTGTCTGGTGAAAAGCTAGTGACAGATCTAAACAGAGAAGCAGAAGAGCAGAGGAAAGAAAAAAAGAGAAACACAGTGTCAGGCATACATAAGTAAGGGCTTGTCAGGCATACATAAGTAAGGGCTTGTCAGGCATACATAAGTAAGGGCTTGTTCATAGTTTTGAAAGATCATTTAAATTATAACCATTAAAATTGAGAATGGAAATGGGGAATATGTCAAAGAGACAACAACCCGACCAAAGAGCAGACAACAGCCGAAGGCCACCAATGGGTCTTCAATGCAGCGAGAAAATCCCGCACCCGGAGGTGGTCCTCAGCTGGCCCCTAAATAAAATTGTGTGCTAGTTCAGTGAAAATGGACGTCACACTAAACTCCAAAACATATAAATGAACTAAAATTAAAAAACATACTAGACTAACAAAGGCCAGAGGCTCCTGACTTGGGACAGGCGCAAAAATGCAGCGGGGTTAAACATGTTTTGAGAGATCTCAACCCTCCCCCTATACCTCTAGCCAATGTATAATTAAGAAACACATAGCAATACACACAGTAAAACTCAGTTTAAAAGAAGTCAGATTAGTAGTAATAATAAGATAAATTAAAAGTGCACACCTATTAAATATGACTGTGTGATGTTAATTTTACATGCTTCAATTTAGATTTTATCTTTTGTATTGTCTTAATTGTCATAGATATCATTGTGCTATAAATAAATTCTACCACACCAACAAGTAAGTCATGTAGATCATAGGAAATTCATTCTCAGGATAGCGAAATTTTCAGACTTAATAATGCAAGGTTTAATGAGCATTTAAACTTTTAAAATTTAACTATCAAGAATTGATAAATACTGTAATAAACAGGGTTATTCAACATGTGGTGTATCCAAATGGATTAAACTGGTCAAAACCATTTTAAATGCACACAATATTCAAGATGACACTATATTTTGCAAAAGAAAACCTTCGAATGGTATGGCAATTTTATTTCAGCATTTTTCTATAAAAAAAACTAGGCTATTGATATTTACCTCAATATAGCAAGACATCAGAAATAAAACTTACTCCTTTCTTTTATCCAGGATGATTCAAGATGCTTGGGAAGAATCCTTGATATAAGTTCTAAAATAGTTCAACTGAGGAAAATATATATTTCCAAATAATGCCATAAGCACTAAATTTAAATTTCTACTCTTTTCTGATATACTGCTAATATTATTCAAATTCTATTACTAAAATATGCATTTGTTTTATTTTAAACAGGTATTTAGATCTACTGAAGGATAAAGTACAGTATCCATGTCTGGTTGATGGTGAAGGTCATGTGATATCATTTCCACCAATCACAAATAGTGACAAAACAAAGGTTAGTCCTTTAATTTGATTATTTTAGTCTATGCATTTATCTGACAACAATTTTCTTTATATGGGAATCAACCTTTCCCACCCTGCCTTGCTTCGTTAAGAGTTTGTGATGCCCTTAGTTTTACATGTAAAATGAAAGTTAGAAAAAAGCAGTATGTTGATCAGTTCATGTTTATAAAACATAATGTAACTCATAGATGAGTAAAATATCTGGTAACATCTGACTTTCCAAAAGAATTCATCTCCTTATTGTTATATTGATTATGAAGTTGTGATTAAAAGGCAGTTCATAACCATATATTAATAACAGAGATTTTTTTGGACAATGGATCCAACAACTTGTTCATTTTAACTGGTCTTACTTATTGCATTTGTCAGACGATTAGTTTTTTACTACAACAAAAACTAAAAAATGTTCACACATTAGAAATTCATCAGATTTCTCATACCCTGTATGCATGTCAACTCTCTTACAAATTAGTTTGTAGTGTGCACGACAATTAAGATGACATATCTCTTGATAAAACTAAAAAATATTTTTTTTACCATGGATTCAATGTCATCAATTAGAAATTATGAAGTCATTTTGAATTTTATATTTTTGTTTGTTTTTTTGTCTTATTTATATTTACCCCACAGATCCTTTTATTTGGTAATTTTTTCAAAGGAAACACCAAGATTTTTTTTATGCCCCCGCCGTAGCGGTGGGGGCATTAAGTTTTACCCTTGTCCGTCTGTACGTATGTACGTCCCATAAGTGGTTTTTAGTTCTCTAACTTAAGTTTGCCTCAACCAAATGTTATGAAACTTATATACAATGCTTATTACCACAAAACACAGATCAAGTTTGAATTTTGCTGGCGTCACTTTAACCGTTCTAGAGTTATGCCCCTTTATAAATGGAAAAATTGCAAAATTTTTATTTTCTTCTAAATATCAAGTAATTTTTATAAATTTGGAGTTATCTTCCTTTGTCCATGATTATAGTTGAATCAACTACAATCAATGCTTTATACAATGCAATGTTTAATTTTGACTTCCACTGATAAAACACAGATCAAGTTGAATTTGGGTATTGTCACTTTAACCATTATTGAGTTATGCCCCTTTATAAATCGAAAGATTGCAAAATTTTTAGTTTCCATTCTGTAACTCAAGTTTGCCCCTACAAAAAATTATGAAACCTATACACAATATTCATTACCACAAAAATAAGATCAAGTACAAATTTTTTGTTTCCGTTTTCTAACTTTAGTTTGCCTCAACCAAATGTTATGAAACTTATACACAATGCTTATTACTACATAATACAGATTAAGTACGAAATTTGGTGGGGACACTTTTACCATTCTTGAGTTATGTCCCTCTATAAACATAAAAATTGCTGAATTTTTCGTTTCCGTTCTCTAACTTTAGTTTGTCTCAACCAAATGTTAGAAAACTTATACACAACCGTTCTAGAGTTATGCTTGTTTACAAATAGAAAAATTGCTGAATTTTTAGTTTCTGTTCTCTACTTAAGTTAGCCTCAACCAAATGTTATAAGACTTACACACAATGCTTATTACCACAAAACTCAGATCAAGTTCAAATTTGGGTAGCGTCACTTTTACCGTTCTTCTGTTATGTCCCTTTATAACTATATGATATGCAAGCGGGGGCATCATCTGTGTCCACACTATCCACATTTATTTATTTATCATTTCAGATAACCAAAGATACGACAGATTTGTTTATAGAGGTGACCAGCCATTTAAACCTTGACACGTGTAAGAAGGTCATGGATGAATTGTTGTATCGGATGTTAGAAATGGGTCTTGGTACACCAAAACCAGAAGAGGAGGGTGCTGAAGGTGGTACTGGTGATACTGAAACTCAAAATGAGGCTTCAAAAAGAGTTCAGAAGACATTGATAGTGGAACAAGTGCAAATTTTAGATACTGAAGGGAATATGAAAGCTGTTTACCCATCGAGGGCTGATTTACCAAATGAAGCTATCAAAATAATAAGAAACTATGACTAACTAAAAAGAATGGTGATTTTTTTTATCATGTTTATTATGAGTATATATTTAGTACAAATTGATTTTTTTCAATAACATAAAATTAGAAATTTCAGATAAAAAGATCTTTAGCTCATGATTATTAAAATATCTTATAAATGGAGTGAAAACAATGTAAATTCTGTATGATGAAGTAAGGACAAAAAGGCTCAAATTAAGTTCAAAATTTAATGAAACCATACATGATCTTTAATTTTCCCTAACATGACTTAGGAAATAGGTGTTCATGAATTTAAAATAAAATTTCCCATTCGTTCAGTTTCCATAGCAACAAAACATGATGACATTAGTATTTTTGTAAAATGTCTTTATTTTCCTTATTTTGTATCAAACTTTTGAGTTTATTTTGGATTGAAAAATAATGAGCGCATCAAAATTATATTTGGTGGAATGATGCACGGTAAATAGCTATAATAAGAAAGCTCTTACAAATAAAAAAAATCTTATTATAAGATGCAGCCAATGTTTCCACCACAGAAATTTGGATAGTAAACTGTATAAAATTGACACTTTCTTCATTTTTGTGAAATATGTGTATATAACAGTATAATGAGATAATTATGGCATCAAACTTAGTATAAAATCTTTTCTGATTTATTTAAATTGAAGATTTTATCGTTTCCCTATATTATGAGCAAATTTGAAGTAATTTTCAAAAATCATTTTCAAATATGGGCCTACATTCCCTTTCTTCTACAGAAGTTTTGAAATGTGTTTATTATTGTAAAAAAATTGACAGCATTAGTATTGCATTAAACAGAATTTCTATATTAAATTTGTTCCCAGTCTTTATATGCAACATTTCCTTAAATTGTGTTAATTAATTTTCTTTTTGTTATTCCATCACAGTAATAAATGTGCACAGTAATTTTGGAAGTTAAAGTAATTACAAGATAAAAATAAACTGTTCTATATATCTTTGTTTTGGATTCTTTAGCTTTAGGTATTTTTCTTACTATGCATTATAGCTTGTAACATGAATTTATATCATATTAGTCTCAGATACAACAATATCGGTAGAAGGGGGAGGCATTTTTCTTACCATTATAGCTTAAAACATTAATTTAAATCATTTTTATCTCAGATACAAGATATTTAATTATTTGGTATACTGTTTTACAGAACATCTATATGTTTAAGTTTCAAACAGAATTTGGGATAAAATTGAGAATGGAAATGGGGAATGTGTCAAAGAGACAACAACCCGACCAAACAGCAGAAAACAGCCATTCCATCCTCCTCCCCCAATCATCCTTAAAACACATTCAGTTTTACATGAAGAAGTAATTCTGATAGAGCATGGATATTTTTCATGCTGTTGCATTTCTTTCAATGCATTCAATTAGCCAGCCTCCATGCTTTAATATACTGTGAACCAACTTATTTTCGTTGGCGATTTATTTTTCTTGACTTTTGCGAGCAGAAAAACAACGTGAATATAAATCGTCACGAATATGTAAAACTTTGATCTTTCCATTTTTAACTTAATCAAGTAAATTTGAAAACCGTGAAATTAAAAAGCAGCGAAGTGGGCTAGAAAGGGCTAATCATGAAATAAAGTATCTGCAAAAATAAGATGGTTTACAGTATTCCATTTAATGAGTTTGGGAAGTGTAAGTAAATAAAGAGATATCAACTCCCATATACAACCAATTGATATGACATGTCTCCTGTACTTTTAGTCTTTTGAATTTTGCAGTTGAGGCATTCTCTGTGTAAAAAGTTAATTGTACAGATGAAGAATTGAAAACTAGTCAGAATATAGTATTTCATCTGTTTAACAAGGAGGTGTTCTGTAAAAAAAAATAATTCCATAAAATGCCTCATGCTCAGATCCTATAGAGTCAGTTGTTCTCTCCGTGTTCTTCAGCTTCCTTCACCAAAAAATAAAAACTGGCCACTATGATATCACTGAGTGTGCTGACAGTGGCATTAAGGTGGTACCTAACACTACAGGGAGATAACTGTAAAAATCAGCTGAACGTTTTAATCACGTTCTATTGATAAGGAAATATTAAGCTTCTCAATGATCAAAATTAGTGTTTGTCAAACTGCTATATATTCAATGATATATTCAATTTTTCCGATAAAGTGTGTGGTTGAAGTTTTTTTTAAATTTTTATATTTTCGTCAAAGGGTCAAAGAAAATATTTTGTCAAAATTTTATGAAAATTAAACGAGCCAAATTAATTTTCGGCAAGGTGTTTGGTACCACCTTAAACACCAAAAATCACTAAGATCATATTTTGGAAGTATCTGATGAATGAGTGCACACAAAGTGCAATGAAGCTGAACTTTTTAAAACTTCATATCTGTTTATTTTTCTGAGAATAAAAAATTGTTGGTAAAATATGCTAAGATATAGATTTGTTCCCACCTGTTACCATTTTACTATACTTTGGCAATGTGCATATATGTTGAGTAATGAACTTACATTTCTTTGAATTGTCTATTCAAAACCACTTGTTAATTTTCTATTTGTATGTACATGTATGTAGTTTACATGAGATAAAAGCTACTCCTAAATTGATAACATAAGCACCAATTATTGCAGTAACACATTTATAATATAAAGTACATTAAAATGGTTACATTAAATATCTAGTACATTAAAATGGTTACATTATCTAGTACATTAAAATGGTTACATTACATGTATTTAGTACATTCAAATGGTTACATGTATCTAGTACATTCAAATGGTTACATGTATCTAGTACATTCAAATGGTTACATGTATCTAGTACATTCAAATGGTTACATGTATCTAGTACATTCAAATGGTTACATTATGTAGTACATTAAAACAGTTACAGAATCTAGTACATTAAAATGATTACATTATCTAGTACATTAATACAGTTACAGAATCTAGTACATTAAAATGATTACATTATCTAGTACATTTATACAGTTACAGAATCTAGTACATTAAAATGATTACATTATCTAGTACATTAAAATGATTTCATTATCTAGTACATTAATACAGTTACAGAATCTAGTACATTAAAATGGTTACATTATCTAGTACATTTATACAGTTACAGAATCTAGTACATTAAAATGATTACATTATCTAGTACATTAAAATGATTACATTATCTAGTACATTAATAAAGTTACAGAATCCAGTACACTAATACATTTATGGTGTGCAGTACATTTTACATTAATTTTTGTACAGCATGTTTATTCAAACATTTACAGTATCTAGAAAATAGTTTTGTTATAGATATACTTACACTATTCTCCTTGTTGTACTAAAATGTTTTTAAAATTAGTGCTACTTCAATAAAATATTTATATTGTTCTACAATATTCTGTTTTCATTTAAAATGCTGTCAAAAATTCAAAAGTTTAAATTATAGACGGCTACAAAGATAATAATCAGACAAGTGTTTTTTCCCTTATAAGTTATATGGTTCGCTACTGACCCCCTACTGATCCATAGAGGGTTAGTAAAATCCATAGGGGGTGAGGCCGAAGGCCAAATCACTATGGATTTTATTCACCCTCTATGGTCGGTAGGGGGTCAGTAGTGAACCGTATAACGAATTTATCGCACACGGGACTTTTCTGCTGCGTTTTGTAGAAAAATAAACAATGAAACACAACAACATTAATAGATGACGTCACCATTTACAGTAGACGTGACGTCAAGAACCCCCTATGAAATTTACTAACCCCCAAAGGATCCATAGGGGGTCACCACGTGACGTCGTTAAACCAATCACAACATGATAATTTACCCGCGGTGCGATAATAATTTTTAGGGTCGGCTTATTTTAAGAAGTAGAAAGTAGAGGGTAAAAGATTGGCAAAGTTTTTATCTAATTACATTTATAATTGACCAAAAGACAGCCAAAGGCTATTTAGCTGTCTACTTGTTTGTCAGGAAAATACTTGACAGCAAAAGGATAATTCAGATTATGTTAAAATTGGACCCCAGATTGAGTTTGTTCTAAAATATCTCATCTGATATTTTCATTTATACCTTTAAAAAAAGGTAAATAAGCACCCTATTAATAAAAGGATAAATTAAAAGTACACACTTACCCAACCCCTTTCCCTTTAAGCGTCTTCTATGTGAGGATAATTATTTTCATATAATTATCAACTGTGATATGGAATCAAAAAATACATTTCTAAACATATATATTACTATGTCCTCCTTTTCAACTTTATGGAACAAACAGAAAAAAATGATTGTTCAAACAATGGTCATTTTGGTCAAGTAAGACCTGAATTTAATTTTACCATTCTCCATAATAGATTTGCTGTAGTGTACATCCTTCCTTCATATAGTTTTATTTCTGGACCTCAAGAAAAAACAAATGGCCATGACTCTGGATTCTGCAGCATTTTCATTTTTGTAGAAAGTTTAAGACCTATTTAATCATTTGTTAAATTACAAGTATTCTTTTTTTCCCGACTTTTGTGACATTTAGGCCCTTATCAGGTACTTCTGAATGGACTATATATGTTGGTAATAACTTGAACTGTGTGAGACAATTTTATTTTGTAAAACTGATTTCTGCTTGTCACCTTTTGGAACAGTATTTGATGATCTTTAAAGACCATTCTAGATTACTTTACTAAAATAATGTAAAAAGTAACATTTTAATACTAAATTCATGTCAGAGATTTTTGATTAATATTTATTTAGCATTTGTAGTGCAACAAAGAAGCAACAGATACCAAATGGTCATTCAAAACTCATAAGTCAGAGAGCATATGACAATGGCATGGCAAAAACACTACATATAAATCTTAAGACTGAGCAATGCAAACTCAAGCAAAAATTTTGGATGATCTCAGATGCTCTGAAAGAGTAAACTTTTAATCTTTAAACGGTTGACAGCAATATATTAATCAATGTGGTTCTTGTAGGAGATCGATGTATGGTATACATCAGTTATGCTGCCATCTAAATGTCTATTGGTTATTTTGTCGTTTGAGTTGCTGTCTAACAACTCAATAGACAAAATAACGAATAGACATTTAGATGGCAGCATACAGTATTCAACAATATTCCGGTGTCCATACAGTATATTAAGCACTTAACCGTCCAAGTCTTAAAAGTTGTTATTTTTTCTTTAATCAAACTATAAAACAAGAGTGCACACGCTGAAATGGCTCCCCTGCTTAAATGACCATTGATTTTATGTTGAAAGTCTTACAAGATAAAGGTTTTACTACAAGCATCACATAAACTTAACATTTTTAAAGAACCATGACAATGAGATCAAGGTCAGACAAATCCTGTCAGACAGACATATACACCTAACAATTATTCCATACACCAAACAGAGTTGACCTATTGCTTATGGTATTTGAAAAACAGACCGAAACACGAAAACTTAACATTGACCAATGAAGCATGAAAATGAGGTAAAGGTCAGATGATACCTGCCAGACAGACTTTTACACCTCACACCAATTCCATACACCAAATATAGATGACCTACTGCTTATAGTATTTGAAAAACAAACCAAAACACAATAACTAAACATTGACCAATGAACCATGAAAATGTGTTCAAGGTCAGATGATACTTGCCAGACATACATGTACACCTTACAATCATTCCATCCTCCATATAAAGTTAACTTATTGCTTATAGGATCTTATAGTACTTGAAGAAACTTGCCAGACTGACATCATGTATCCCTTACAATCATTTTATACACCATATATAGTTGACCTACTGCTTATAATATCTGAGAAACTTGACCTAATCACGTAACTTTAACCCTGATCAATGATCCATAAAATGAGATTGAGGTCAGGTGAACCCTATCTGACGGACATGAAGACGTTGCAAGGAACCTAGATACCAAATACAGTTATTTTGTTACTCATAATAAGTGAGAAATTCACATGACAAAACAAAAATTCTAGCTGTCACTGAACAATGAAAATGAGGTCAAGGACAATGGACATATGTTAAGCCTTTTTCAAGCCTTTTCAACTGATTTTTATAGTTTGTTCTAATGTTGTACTGTTACACCATTGTCCCAGGTTAGGGGAGGGTTGGGCGCCCGCTAACATGTTTAACACCGCCACATTCTGTATGTATGTGCCTGTCCCAAGTCAGGAGCCTGTAATTCAGTGGTTGTCTTTTGTTTCTGTGTATCATATTTGTTTTTCGTTCATTATTTTGTTCATAAATTAGGCGGCCGTTAATTTTCTCGTTTGAATTGTATTACATTTGTCATTTCGGGGCCTATTGTAGCTGACTATTCGGTATGGGTTTTGCTCATTGTTGAAGGCCGTACGGTGACCTATAGTTGTTAATTTCTGTGTCATTTGGTCTTTTGTGGAGAATTGTCTCGTTGGCAATTATACCACATCTTGTTATTTTTGTATATATGACAGACAGAAATTTCGTAACATAATGTATATGCATACAAGGTATGAATCATCCGGGTAATATAAAGCTTTATACAAATAGTTTACACCGACGACGCCGCCAGATAGTCACCCTAATGTCAAGCATACTGCGATTTTCATCGTAGGCGACACAAAAACTAAAAATTCCCCAAATAACAAACCCATTGAAATATGACTTAAGACAACCACTGATGGGAAAGGCACATAAATATCTAGTTTTTTAAATCTCAATCCTACCCCTTTTTAATCTCATGCAATTAGTTGTACATAAGAAGACCACGTATGTACTTGTTATATTAACAATGGACAATGCAGGATTTAACTGAAAAGTTTAATATATTGCGATGTTTTTTGCATTTATTTAATAAAAACTCATGGCATTTATTTTTGAATTTATATTATGACATTATTTTCAAATAATTTTACTTAATTGGTTGTGGCCTTAAAATAAAAAATGGTTATATTATTGCAGATTCACGTTCGGGCTAATTGGTGTAAAATTTGGACAAAACATGTGTTACGTTTAGGCCAATGGCAAGTCGACATTTGGGCTAATCCTCCCATTCAAAGGTAAAATACATGTACAATATCTATATTCTAATTATATATTTATATTCTATTATATATGTAATAAATGACATTCTATGTATAACATGTTCTTATTTTATATACAATTCTGTTTGCCAGACAGTATCTGCTCCTTGGTCACCACGCGGTTGTGAAAGTAGGATTTTGAGCGAGACAAGTCTTTATAGCACTAAATATTGTTTAAACAATGTACAACATGAAGGTATAAAACAGCTATGTTAAGGTGGTACCTAACACTACAGGGAGATAACTCAAGTAAAAGGGAGTAAAATCAGCTAAACGTTTTAATTACGTTGTGTTGTTAAGGGAATATTAAGCTTCTCAATGATCAAAGTTAGTGTTTGTCAAACTGCTATATAACCAGTCTAATTTTTCTGATAAATTGGTTGGTTCAAATTTTTTGAAATTTTTATATTTTTGTCAAAGGGTCGAAGTAAATACTTTGTCAAAATTTTATGAAAATTAAACGAGCCAAATTAATTTTAGTGAAGGTGTTGGGTACCACCTTAAGTTACAAAGGAAATCCAATAGATTTTTCTCAAAGTTTGAAACTGGTCCTAAATTTTAATCTAACAGCCTTTAAAAACTGTGTGATACTGTGATACTGGCTGATGTTCACTGTAAACTCATTTCATTTAAATGGTGTAAAACTTCACGTTTCTTTTCTTTTCAAACTAGCATGGTTTCCCAAGACCAGATTTTTAAGTAGGTAGTATTTTCCTATTCAATTTGTTATATATTTCATATCAAATAGTGATATAGATAAACGTTACCTGTAATTTACCCACAAAACACAAAAACGTTCAGGAAATGTTCCTGGAACGTTTCTGTTTTGTTGTGAGAACGTTGTGATTTAACGTTGTGGGAACATTAAAGTGTGGACTACCAGTTACATTATAAAAACGTTATGATATAACGTTATAAAAAACCAATCTGGAACCTTAATAGAACCTTGTGTTACCAATCTTGAACCTTAATAGAACCTTGTGTAACCAATCTGGAACCTTGATAGAACCTTGTGTAACCAATCTGGAACCTTAATAGAACCTTGTGTAACCAATCTTGAACCTTAATAGAACCTTGTGTAACCAATCTGGAACCTTGATAGAACCTTGTGTAACCAATCTGGAACCTTGATAGAACCTTGTGTAACCAATCTGGAACCTACATAGAACCGTGTGTTACAAATCTGGAACCCAAATTTAACCTAGTCCCAGACAACATTTGTATGTTGGCAACAACAATGGCCCAACGTATCTACATTCATTGGCCCAACGTTGTTTTTCTCTCCATCTTCCTGAAAATGCATGAAAATTTTGCCACTTGAC